TAGGGGCGGATTTAGAGGATGGTGGAGAGCGGTATGCAACGATTTGTTTATGACGACGAACATTGTATGGCCGTTGCTGTTGTTGCTGTTGTTTTTCGACGTAAGACATTTGAAGGACTTGCGTAGCTATGAATGACTGGGTGGTAAGTGTTGTTTGGGATATTGCTCCAACCGGCTTAGAAAGTGACAATGTATCTTCTCAAACGAAACAATTTGGGAAAGGAAACGATAGACTTAGGTAAAGAAACGAAAATGCAAATAGAGCTGAGGTTGTTTAGCATGCATGCCTTGAGGGAGTGTATATGAAGGAAACATTGTTTGGAGGGCAAACATAGATTGTGGGTTGGTCTTTCCAATTTTGATGACTTCAGAGGCCTTGCTTGTCAAATAAGGTACCGTGTAGACTATTCCAAGCAAGACCGCGTTACTCAGACGATGACCAACGTTGATTAACTGCATTTCTTGTAATCGAATAGTTGATAAAATTCTCCGGACAAACATGCAGAAAATTGGTTAGAGTTCCGTAAAATTATCCTCATAGATAGCTAAAGTCCCCTCCCCGAACATTTGTCATATGGAGTATGGCTCAAGGTAGCATAAGACTCAAATTTGGTAAGGACAAATGACTACTGGGTAGTCAGCAACTCTGCTTAGGTAAGGAAGAATGACACCTAGGGATATATTTCGCAAAGAAGAACGATTAAAGTTATCCGTTATCGGGTTGAGTGCTTAGTATAAGGGGTAAGGATTCGGGGTGTTCGGGTAAGCAAAGCAGACGAGAAACATTGTTTAGGGAGACAACATGATTGCAATAGTATAGTCAGCGACTTCGCATGATTCACATGAGATCAGATAGAATGATAGTGGAACATAAATGAAGATAGGAAGGACAGCCTTTCAACAACCTGTTACACCATCTGAGGTTTGTCAACACTCTGCGTTTCTGAGTAAGGATTTCAGATAAAGAAGCATTCCAATTAATACAGGGCTGAGTAAAGAAAGTATGCTTAGCTGTCTTGTAAATACAAAACTTGATTCAGCTTGAATATGAAATGTGATCCAGCTTGTACCACCACAAGCATCAACAAACAGGAAACATGAGAATCCTATAGAATCCATTTTCGAAGATTCTGGATCGGATCACAATCAGAATCACAATCTCCATCCCAATCCCAATCCCTTTCCCAATTCAAAGGTTTCGACATCTGAGTCGGGTTACCAAGATTGAAGAGTTGGTCAAGCCTCAAGGAGAAAGTATCTCGATTGTGATTCGTGATGAGCGAGTGATCATAAGCTTTGGAAACTTAAATATTGCCTGCCTCTTGGTCATGTTTAGGCTATCGAGCGTACCAATATCTGGCCATCGACTAGGTTCACATATCGCCCATAACTCAAAGAGGGGATGGGAGAAGTGCCACCAGGTGTAGTAACAATAAGCTTACATAAAGCCTAGTATAGCATAATCGCACCTTTCAGCGATGATCTTCTTTATTAGAAAGTTTCTTGCCCTGGGTGAGGTCAAGGCTATACGCAATGAAATGTTAAATATCCTAGTCCTTCTGATGGCAAGACGTAAATATTAATAATTATCACGGAGGACCGATCCCATCCATCTGACAAGGAATTTTCAAAGCTTCTGGAAGGAAATTGGAAGGAATTTCCAGCAGATTAACCCCTTTTTGGCGGCTATCGGTGACCCACTTACTGCATGGCGGACATGGATACTGAGGACGGCGGTAAGGTTCAAGCATTTTGGTATGAAATGATGTGAAAGAGATGTATCCAATTATTACGATAGTTTCAAGAAGTCCTTTTTAGCTAAGCAGTATTCAATTGATTCGGTTGATGAATTTGGAGGCTCGTCAAATGTCCAAGACATACGGAGTGAGATAAGAATCATAAGATGAAAAGCGAGCCCCAGTTAATTGTAGGTAGATCAGGACATATGCAATCTTGAATCCACCATGGCACCATGTAATAAAGATTTTTGAATCAATTGAGTAGTCTGTGGGGTGTCATGGGTGTTGAAATGGCTGGTCTGGCTGGTCTGGCTGGCCTGGCTGGTGGTCGTTGAAGAATTCGGACTTGATGTGTTTCATCCATCTTATGCAAAAAGAAAGGTTTGAGCGGCGGTAGAAGCGGGACAGTCTCTCAGGAAAACAGGAATCGAGAGCCTCGGAACATTTGGATTGGCATATTTTCATCCAAAGTTGTATTGTGATCATCGGATAGTAGTTGTTGCAGTTGACATGTACTCCGCAGTTGAAATATACCCCGTGCAATACGAAAAACATCATGCTTTGCTGTGACTATCAATACTCACCAAGGTACGCTGGCCCGCTGGCAGACGTGGAATTGTGATGTGAATCCACGAGCAGTCAAACGGTTCCATCAAAACTTTCGACGTCGGATTATTTGAGGATAATTCAAACCATTTTATATAATTCATCAAGTTTCATTGGTTCAGAGTGGAATATGTGGCGTTTTATGAAGCCCCTTCTTTCTCATGCAGGCAATTCGTATCTGCCCCAACATTTACCAGATAATGTAATGTAGTGTGTAGGTAGTATGTACGTACTCAGGTACTCCAATATACTCGCATGAACAGTTCCCATTCCTTAAGGCTGATGGGGAAAGATGATGCAAAGAAGAGGCGAGAATGGATGAATTGTGTAATGTGTGATGTGTGATGTGTATTGTGTATGGAGTATGTATTGTGTATGGAGTACGAGCAATCTGTAACCTGGAACTAATTGACCTTTTTCTTTGAGAATATATGATGGTACCATCACTTGACAACATCACTTCCTCCTGCATTCTCCTACAAGAATCTAAAGATGGCATCGATCAATCTTTTTCTTCAAGAGAGTCAAAAGAAGTGATGGTTCTCCTGAGACATTAGTTATCATTGGCTATTGGCTACACGTATCTGACTTGATTTTTTTGCTTCTTCTTTTTCTCTTTCTTTATTTCTTCCTTCCTTTCTCTCTTTCTTTCTTCTTCAATTGACACTATAACCAAATCATCCTTCTTCCCATGCTTCCATTAATCTTAAAGTACGGAGCTTCCTCTCTGATACGTCGATTAATCCTGGTTTTCATCTGCAGAATGGAATTAACCCCTGGTTCATTCCTTGTGGACGGTATTGTTTTATCCTAGTTGCTTTGCCATCGGTAGGTAGGTAGTCTATGGAGTAAGTCGGATTCTAATAACAGACATGCAGACTGCTGCAGACTGCAGTTAAAAACTTCCGAGCTCTTTGTTAGCCTTCCTTTAATAGAATGTGAATCACTGAAGAAAGCCTACACCCATCCAACTGGTAGCACTAGGCAATGATGTTGGTATACTCTACAACTGATCGAGATGACAAACTTTATGAATGGCTGTTCATGAGTGGCTGTTCATGAATGGCTGTTCTCATATCTTCTGACTAATAAGTCTTCAGCTCACCAAACTTCTTTTCACTAGCCAATATAGAGTTCCAACAGTATGCTTGCTGCTTCAAACCTTCAACGAGAGTTCTATCAATTTAGATGAAGCAAACTTGTAACGCTGATATCAAAATACCTATGATATGATGGATGAATACTGGACGATACCCAACCTGCGGAGTATATCTACTTAGCTATAACCTCCTCACAATCTCCTCCGTGGGTATGGAGACATCCACAGCGGACTTCTTCCTTGTTTTATAGATATATCGACATACCGAGGAAGGATATATCCAACTAATCATCAAAAGGCAGGCAAACCTAATGAGCAACGGCAGCCAGGCAGAGTACACGTCCCCGTTATGTCAAGACATTCACTAGTCAATTAGATCAGATTCATTAACCATTAACATCAACCAAGCCTCATTCTTTTTTGATAACGCTTTCACTGGTTGCAGATTGCCGTCATTGATTGAGATGGACAGTCTTCTGACGAAAAATGACAGTGATCATTGAGCAATTGAGCAATTGAGTTTTTGAGCTTTACTGTCTATCACCTTGGAGGGGAAAGTATGTGATGTGTAGTAAGTAGTAAGTAGGTAGGTAGTAGGTAGGTAGGTAGTAAGCAGGTCATAGAGGAAGATTCTTATCTCAATACCTACCTAGGTAGTATTCACTTCATCATCAGATCATCTACAGACTACCTGTCTACCTAGTTGGCTATGGCAAATTACATTAAGTATTATTTTTTGATATCAAATCTCGAGGTATCCATATGTTAGCGATGGTATATTATGACTGGATGATGCTATACTTATTCACTTTCTTACTCATCGAGAGCTCATCTTCTTTGTCTAGACGACCGATGATATGAGGGACTGCCTACCTAGGTACCTAGGTCTACTCATCCATCCTCTCCTCACTCTCTCATTCATAAAAATAACACTCGAGTAATAATAATAAGAAGAATCATAACATAATAACCACATAATAACCACATAATAACCACATAATAACCACATAATAACCACATAATAACCACATAATAACCACATAATAATAAAACCCTGATCGTACTCCACTTATTAATGTCCACTCTCATACATTCCCCCTCCCAGAATCCAAATTGGGAAAGACATTAGCGCAAAGCCAGCCGAGAATGTGCTCCGTAGACCTCTCACCCCTTCCCTATTTCGATTATAATTGATTATTCTTTCCCGACTACTAGTGACTAGCAATTATAACTAGGAACTAGGTAGTATAAACTCACCCAAGTAGAATGCTAAATAATCCCAGAACAAGAGGGAAATCAAATCAAAAGACTCTTTCTCCGTTCGTTCGTTCACTCAACCATCGATTCATCCAACCATTTCCTTTCCGACAAACTACCTCCCTACCCAACCCGTCCATCTCCTCGTACCAAAGATCAACTTTGGTTCACATAATTGTTTTTCATTCCATTCGATTCACACTTGAAGGAGTTTTCTGTCCCATCCATTTGGTTGACCAAGAACCTCGACTTTACTTTCTTCGGGATTAAGGACTGAAAGAGTGTATTGTTAATACTGGTAAGTAACTGACTGAGTCTGACTTTCTTTGTTTCCTTATGGATTGCACCATTCCACATCGCATCGCAATCGAGAGAGAATAAATAGCAGCAAATCAAATTGCATCCATTCACACTCACCACACAAATTGTCTGTCGGGAAGACCGACCGACTGCGACACACACATATCTTTGAAAATCATTTACGACTCGAGCCCTTTTACACCATTTGGAATACCAACTATATCAATCTCGGAAAGAAGCATTGCATCTTGCATTGCATTTGAACCCCCCTCCCCTATTCACCAACCCGACCGAGTTCAATTCAACTTCAATCCAGCACCTCGTTGCTGATTGTCGCCTTTGCTTACCATCAGCAATATCTCAATCATTCAGCCGCAACTCATTCATTGTCTGATTTCCGCTAATCATTTACCTTTCACAGACCGCACTCTATCTTGCGGCCGGTTCTGCGACGAATTTACACTCACCTTACGACCCTTTTTTACGACTTTTAATAATTACATACCACAATAATCTATCAAGATGGGTTGCGGTATGAGCACTGAGGAGAAGGAGGGAAAGGCCAGGAACGAGGAGATTGAGAACCAACTCAAGAGGGATAAGATGCTGCAGCGAAATGAAATCAAGATGCTTCTCCTTGGTAAGTAATATTGTCCTTGATCACACTTTGTCTACCATCAATTATCTAGTCTAACACTTTTGTAGGAGCTGGTGAATCCGGAAAGTCTACTATCTTGAAACAGATGAAACTTATCCATGAGGGAGGTTATTCGCGCGACGAGCGAGAATCATTCAAAGAAATTATTTTCAGCAACACAGTCCAATCAATGCGCGTTATCCTCGAAGCCATGGAGTCCCTGGAATTACCTCTCGATGATCAAAGAGCAGAATACCATGTCCAAACCATCTTCATGCAGCCACAACAAATTGAAGGAGACAATTTACCACCCGAGGTCGGAAGTGCTATTGCTGCTTTATGGAAGGATGCTGGTGTTCAAGATTGTTTCAAGCGATCAAGAGAATATCAATTGAACGACTCTGCTAGATAGTAAGTATTTGATTGTGGATAGATTTTGGATACCTGTCGAATTTTTTTTATGAACAAAGCTGATCCTAACACTCTTTGTCTAGCTACTTTGATAACATCGAAAGAATCGCTCAACATGATTACATGCCAAACGATCAAGATGTCCTTCGCTCTCGTGTCAAGACCACGGGTATCACCGAAACCACCTTCATCATTGGAGACCTCACCTACCGCATGTTCGATGTTGGAGGACAACGTTCCGAGCGAAAGAAGTGGATCCATTGCTTTGAGAATGTCACGACAATCCTCTTCTTGGTCGCTATCTCCGAGTACGATCAATTGCTTTTCGAAGATGAAACTGTCAACCGTATGCAAGAAGCGCTTACACTTTTCGACTCGATTTGCAATTCAAGATGGTTTATCAAGACGTCAATTATCTTGTTCTTGAACAAGATCGATAGATTCAAGGAGAAGCTTCCCGTCAGTCCTATGAAGAACTACTTCCCAGACTATGAAGGTGGAGATGATTACGCTCTCGCATGTGACTACATCCTGAACAGATTCGTCAGTCTCAACCAGCACGAGACAAAACAAATCTACACCCATTTCACTTGCGCTACCGATACTACGCAAATTAGATTCGTCATGGCGGCTGTTAATGGTAAGCTTCATAACTCTCAAGTGTTTTGTACCGTTTCTAACTTATTCTAGACATCATCATACAAGAAAACCTCCGCTTGTGTGGTCTGATATAATCATGGAATACCCAACTGCAGTCGAACAATATCGACTACAGAAATCTCCTTAATTCAGCATGGCGTTAATTACAAAACCGGGGTCTCATTTTTCCAATACCAACATCTTCTTGCACAGTCACTTTCGGTCTTGCAACCTTTTTTTGCTATAGAACCATTGTTTTTCTTCGAAGGGGGTGTCGAGGGTACGGTAGTATCGGAGCACTTCATGGGTTGTTCGACTTGACCTCCGCTTCGATGTGCCATCTATTATATCCCTTCTACGTTTTAGGGGGTAGCATCGACCGAGACTATTTTCTCTTATTACTTAAGTTTTGTTTTAAATCCTGTTTGTCATATTAATAGCGACGACGTAACACCGTTCGGGATGTGGTTGGTTTAATGCCAGCAACTGATGATGTCGCACGGTTTGCGGTTTGCCGTGTTCTCTTTTTTGATGAGGGTGGGAGTTGTGTAGTAAGTCGAGAGTGAGATGAATTAAGATGAAGCTTTTAGCTGGTTAGAAGGTTGCAGGTGTACGAACACGAAGATAGGTGATTGTTGGATGGCTCGTTGGGCTTAAAATGATGGTAGTGGTGGATCTCTAGGCTGATTGGTTGGCCGAATCGAAGCAACTGCTTATTCACGTTAGGCATTGATACCATAGTCAATTAATTAAAAAGATTCATATTGATCTACCTTTGTCCTTGTGTTTGCTTTTTGTGATCGTTAATGTGTATCTCGAGTCGGGAAATGATAGGCTAAGACATTTATGATCAGCTATGGTAAAGTTTTTGTAACTTAGGCAACCTCGTGGCAACTAAAGCCTGCAATAAATAACACATGATTGCATCCTTTTCAACACTGCGATAATTGTAACACCATATTTGAAGCCCGCACATTAAACATTGTCTTCCCACTTGTATTTGATTTCTAATTACACAAGCAACGTGATAAAGATGATATTTTCATCGCGCAAAAGATCCAATGTTAGGATCCTGGAAAGCTGCAGGTGGCTGGTCTTGGGATATTTGGTTATGGGGATGGGGGTGGAAGGTGTTTGGGGGAAAATCACCTTAGAGAGTGTGAGGGGGATTACGGGGGTTACGAGGGAGGGGAGGGAGAGGGTGGGGTGGGGTGAAGGGGGTGGTGGTGGTGGTGTTGGGAATGGAAAGGGGGTGGAGATGAGGATGGGGATGGGGGTTTATGGGGGAAGGAGAGGCGAGGAGGAATGGAGAGAAGGAAAAGGGGAGGGGGAGGGAGAACAGGTGATTATGGGGACTGGGAATGCGGGTGGAGATCGAGATGAGATTGAGAATGTGAGTTTACTTTCTTGTCTAGATTCTTTGATTCTGTAGCCTTGGGATTGAGGCTAGGGATCCCAATGGAGCTGGTGGATGATACCGTGATGATGATCAGGAGACGGAAAAAGGAGGCAGGATTTGAATTGTTGGGATACGATGAACGGGGCGATGGAAGTGATTGAATCAAGACAACGTGATTTGATGATCAAAGAAGGCAAATACACTAATACTAACCAATTTCTAATTTTCCACAGACGGTAACAGCCGCTCTGCATATGCTCTGCGCGGATCTATTGGTTGAGTTGGAGAAACCTCTTTTGGTTTCTTCTTCTTCTTCTTCTTCCTCTTTCTCCTCTCCATTTGTGTCTTTCGGGGATACGAAGGTATGTTCTGTTAACCTCCTGCTCCATACGATAAAGATCTTGGCTGATAGAACATAGGGAGAAGTAAATTGTACACAGGTGAAAACAGATTTTGATGATTTACTGAGGGAAACAACGTGGTTTTTATATCAGGTGCAGGAACGTCAGATGGTGTGGAGGTGGGCGAGAGGGAGCGCGGTTCAGGAGGGGGTGGTGTGGTTGCAGGGGCTGTGGGCTAGTAGGAGGAGTGTGAGTTGTGTTTCTTCTTCTTCTTTGGAATTGCTTCGAGGCGGGAAATGGGATCCAAAACTGACGATGGCAGAATTCACAAGATAGGAGCTTCATTGAACAGCAATTGGAGTTGTATAAGAGTACGGAATGTTTTGAGAAGGTGAATGATGAGGTTTTGAGGAAGGATATTGAGGTTGTGGAGTACTTGAATGATTTGATTGAGATGTTTCCCTAATGGGGAAGGGGGTTAGAGGTGGAGGTGGAGGCAGAGGAGAGGCAAGAGATGGATGATGACGAGGTGATTAGGTTTGGAATTGGTGGGATAGAAGGGTGCGGGGAGTACATTTATCAAAAGGGGATGTAAGATTGTTTAAGGGGACAATGAATTGGGAAGTGGATGGGGAGTCAATCGAGGAGGTGTTCAACAATGACGAAAATTGAGCATGGCAACGAGCATGGAGGATACATGATATCGGATTGTCAATAAATTGGAGTGTGTTATTTTTGTATGAGCAGTACATCTATCATTCAGCCATGAGCAGGAGTACATTAGAGGATCAGCATTGGGATAGAATGACACTTTCTTACACTTTGTCTTCAACTTCCCATGCTTGCAGGAATTCTACTATTCGAGAAGGTAACCCGAAGTAGAGGAACCCCAAGAATATTTCTCCAGAGAGTTTGAAGCATCATTATACATACTCTATATCACTCTCCAGCGACGCTCCCTTCCACAGCCCCACCCAATCCACTCTTCACAATGACATGACGAGGACAAGCTGATCGCGAGCCATACATACTCTTGCTCTCTACCTTGGTTTTTGGAAACTACTCTAAACTCTATGCTTACCAGTGTGATGCCTCATACTCGTTACTCCATGTAATATAGTCAAGATACACTAATTGGACCTACTATCCATCTCAACTCACCAGTCAAAATAAACCACTACCGGTGACCTCGTCCATTCGCACCAATGACCCCAATGACCACCTATAAAACTTCCCCTCAATCTATCTCAAATCCCCCAATCCCACTGATACAAGCAGTCTCCAAGACCCGGGTACAAAGTATCTATTTCCCCAAGCTCCATCCCATCCATCACGCATCACACCCAGCCAGCCAATCCAATCCATACCACACCCCATCTCGATTCTAGAACCTCCCCCAGGTATCCATCAATATCTATCCGAGACTCTGATTCGACTCGGGAATCCACATTGCATATACTAAGGATCAGATGTCATGCGCAAGGTGGACCATGGGGGTTTTGTTGCACGTCTGAATTTTTGCATGTTCGCCGACCTTGGGTTTTCAGGCCGCATTGGGATGGGCTGGCGAGGTGGCCGAGCTGGAGGCGCTTCGGGCTTGTTACATCTGTGTGAAGGGCCGCTCTAGGTGTGTAAGCGAAATCAATTGGTGGCCGGATTGGAAGACGGGTGAAAAGTCTTTACGGTTTGGTTAGTTCTTTTTGAGATGGAGTGGAATTTGTTCTGTTACAGCGTTTAAGTTGTATAGAGGTTGGATTTCGATTTTATCTCTTCCAGTTTTATAGTTTTATTGGTGGTTGGTTTGTGGTTTCAATTAATCAATGAGATTGAAGTAATTCCCTGCCGTAGAGGGTAGGGCATAGGGAGCTCACCGGGAGCTCATCGGCAAGTTTAAGGTTTTCTTCAACTTCTTGAACTTAAACTTGGTCAAAGCTCGCCGGGACCTTTCAGGTCAGCGAGATCTTTATTTTCACCAGCCACAGTTTTGTTTGGAAGCGGAATTCGCAGGGGGTAAAGCCACAATGGTAGTGGAATGAATCTACCAAGGATGTGGAATGATTGGCATCATTGAAATATATTTGATGAGATAATGTGATGAAGGACACACAACTTTCATGATTTGTTAATTTAGTTTTTGATCTCTGCAGCAAGGAAATATGGCAAGGCTTAATACAGTACCTGTTCCGGCGAGGGATCCGACAGCTACGAATTTGGAACGGATGTTGGTGAGATTACAGAAAATAATCTTGGGTCCAGATACGTCTGCCACTTCTCAAAGCTATGCTGAGTGGGTGAAGATGGGCGCGGTAAGGATCTTTGACTTTTTCTATGAGCAATGACGAGGCTGATTGTGCAATGGTATAGAACCTGGAATATGCGCGGGGTTTACTGGTTCATGTAGAGCAGGATGCGCAGAATATCAAAGTGTTATCGAGAAAACAGGAGGTACAGGCAGATTTGGTGCGCAAAAGACATTTGATACAGAGACTTAGTGAGAGATTGGAGGAGTTACGTGAGGTGTGAATATTCTTTGATCTGCGGAGAATCGGACATGTGCTAATCGCTTTATTGTAGCTTGCAGAATATGAAGAAGAAGGCGAGGATTCCTCCGAGGGGGAAGATTTGTTGGGAATTGCGCAAGATACTCCTTCGGAAACGACTGATGAAATGATGAATACGAGCGAAGAACGATCAACACCTTCTCCTACCGATTATACATCTTCTCCTATCGTACAAACGGAGTTGGATTCCGCGCCAGCACAAATTCACACTCAGACCTCTCAGACTCCCGATCGATCTACCCTCCGCTCTCGTAATCCCCGCGCTGAACTTTTCGAGAAATCTTCAAATCAAGCTTACACAACATCTACCTCTACTTCTACCTACCGACCAGCCCCTACCCCCTCAAGCACCACCACCGCCACCACCGAAACCCTCCTGACCCACCACCGCACCGAGCAAGAGGATCTGACCAATTCTCTCCTCTCCATGGCCCAGGAACTCCGCGCTCGCTCACAAACCTTCGCCAGTACCCTCGCGAGCGATTCGTCGGTGCTCGATTCTGCAATCGCGGGGATCAATAAGAATGAGCTTGGATTGGAAGCGGCGTCGAAGAGAATGGGGTATTTGAGGAGTATGACGGAGGGGAAGGGATGGTGGGGTCGCATGATGATGTATGCGTGGATTGCGGGGTTGGCGGTCCTGGCTGTGTTGGTGGTGTTTGTTATGCCGAAGTTGAGGTTTTGAGTTGGGGATGGGAGGAAAGAATGTGTGAGGGGGTGCAGAGAGGGGTTGTGGAAAAAATTATTTGAGGAGAGTAGAGGGAGTCAGAAAAGAATGGGATGGCGTTTTGAGCAAAATAGGTGTTTGATGGAAGGGGGGAGTTTTGCGGTGTTCGAGGTGCTTGGGAAATACCATAAATAGTGGTAGGCTTTCTTCTCTCTTGATATATTGATTCTAGCATGTTTGGACGGGTATTGGAAGGAGCTATATTATGACATGGATGTGTTTTTTTTACATGTTACAAAATGTGCAAAAGGGGAGGAGGAGAGATGATGATGTATTGTATTTGTTGAGTTGCCGAAGTAGCAATATGAGTATGCGGGGTTTGTTGCGTATCATGTATTGTGTATCATTGTATTATGTTGTATTACATTATATCATGTTGCATTTAATTGCGAGTTTTGTTTTGTTTAGTTTCATGAAGATGAAGATGAAGATGATGAAGACGATGATGAAAGATAGGTAGGAAGTTGGAAATTGAAAGTTATAAATAATGAATGAATTATCAAAACGCATATAAACAGCTACCTAGGTATGCTGGAAACATTCCTTCTTAGGTACCTACTTGCTTTTGAGAATTAGAATCGTTGTTGATGGTTCTCTCGGTAGGTAGGTAGGTAGGTACATGTGTAGAGAGGCAAAAAAGAGAAATCTGTTCAACTGCTTCTTCCAATCCAATCCACTTCAGCTCAGCTTAATCCATTCCATTTTCCTATGTCAGATAGATTACTATGTCATTCCTCATCCCTCGTAGATCATCCTTCATCCCTCATAGATCATAGATAATAGATAAAAGATTATCTCCCAAACTCCAAATTATATTTATTGCCATGCTAGTTTTTATACGCTATTGGTCCTGTGTCTTCTGGAGAAAGCTCTTTCATATCTTCATATTTTGTAAGAAGATGTGAAAAGGGAGATGTGAGGGGGGGGGGGGGGGTAAGGAACTTGTGAATTGATGAGAAGAGACTTGAGGATTAAATCGGATGAAATGAAACGAAACGAAATGAAATGATAGAAAGAGAATTGAAATGAAATAAAATGAAATAAAATATTGAGAGAAAGATATGAAAACGAAAAAAAAAAAACGGAAAAATGATAGTGGGCCTTCCCTCAGGATGATACTTCTGGATTTGAGGAGAGGGGATTGGAGATATGAAGATGAGAGGCGAGAGATCTTGTATCGTTGGAGAATCTGATGTGGTGTGGTTGCTGCTGTGTGTGTGGTCGAGTATTCGTATGTTTAGACTTTAACTCGAGGATGTGATTGAGAATCAGATTGAGCAAGATTGGAATGTGATATGTGATATGTGATGCAAGATACGAGATGCAAGATAACGTGGGTCGTGAGGAGGATCCGATATAAAAACGTCGAATGTTATAAGATAATAGCATCGTCGACAGAATTTCCCGAGGTGGAAAAAGAGCGTTGTGTTTGCGAGATGCGGTTTGTGGTGGGAGTTCTGGGAGGAGAAGTTGGACTTGGGAGATGTTAGGTTAGGGGTTTGTGAACAGGGGAAGGGGAAAGGAGGGAGAGGGAAGTGAGAATGAAAGAACTTACTTTTCCATTTCCTCATCCTCGGTATTCGGATCACTGCTATGCATCTCAGTATCCGAATCCGATATCACAATCACAGTTTCCTTCTGCACATCCATCCCGTGTTGCATTCGGGGAAGCGGCGCAAGATGTGCGTGACGATGTGTGGACACAGGCGCAGATACAGAATCTCTCATCAACTCATCGAATGCCTCGTCATCATCCACCTCACTATCACTATCATATTCGAATTCTTCTTTTCTCTTTCTCTCCTCGATCGCTTGAGTTTTCTCCATCATCATCATTCTCTCTTTTCTCCTCTCGTTTTCGCGTTCTTTTTTCTCGACTTCGCTGCTTTCGTCTTGGGCTTCTTCATCTCTATCTTGGATTTCCTCACCGCAGGAATCAACTCCGGTTTCGTGGGGGATGGAATCAGAGTCGATATCTTTCCAGCTGGGAGCTTTGCGCCAAGAAGGTAGCATGCCCATTGGTCGACCTAGGGTAGGTCTTTGAAATCGGAATAGATCTCCGGGATGATTTTCTGGGAGGGGTTCATAGCGATCGTCCCATTCGATGCCGGTTTTAGACTTAAAAATATTTTTAAAATCGAGGAAGGCGTCGGCGAAGATTTTAGCTGTAGGGAGGGAACGGGAGATTAGTTTGGAGGTGTGGAAAGGAGGGAATGGGGGGAGAAAAGACTTACGACGACAATCTTCTCGAAGATAAGAGGGACTTTGATAGGCAGTTGTTAGTTTTGCTCCAGCCATATAAGTATGTGGTTGAGCATTGGATTCGAAGAGGTAGACTGTATATTTCTGATTCTTATTTTTGCCGTGCAGAAGGACACGGGTGAGGACGACTTTATATTCAAAATTCGTCTGATCGATATAAACATGATTGAGTCCTGTTCTTATGTTAGATTAATCTTCCTCAAATCTTAAACACCAGATAGCAAACTCCAAACCAAGCATGAATCTTGAGGTATAATAACATAGGGATTCATTAAGGAGAAAAATACATACGGTCATCACACAATTCCTTACTCGCTTTCACATTCTCCTCGAATCTCTGTCGATACTTGGTTTTCTGATCTTCAGTATGATGTAAACGACGGATTACACGACCAAGTGTATATCCCGTAACGACAAGTTTCCTTTTCTTATTAGTTTTCAAGGTCAGACAATCGACTAGCCAGTCGATGACAACTATATGGCATCGTTTTCCCATAGCCATTGCTTTGCGGACTATAACACACATTCTAAATCAGCAAATCTCTTCAATAACACAAACACAAATACAAATATGAAAGATGTGAAGAAGAAAACATACCCTGAGTCCCCTTCTTCTTATACTCTTTAATAGTCACAATCAAATGTGTCGTATACTCATCCACTTCCCTCGCATACTCGCCCCCATGGACAGTAATCCATTTACTGATTTTCTCATAGTTCCATTGGGATTCGGCGTTGGGACCGGGATGCTCGGCGATGAAGTCGCCTGCGAGTGACATTTTGCAGCCGCTGAATATGGGTTTGAGTGCACCGTTGCTGTAGGAATTTTTGTTGCGTTTGGGTTTGGGAGGTGTAGGGAGAGAGGGTTTATGGGATTTAGATTTAGATTTGGAGGGGGTCTTGTGTGTAGGGGGCTTGATGCGTGGCATAGTTGCGGTTGGTAGGTCGGAGAGGGTGGTCTAGAGGTATTAGCTAAGTGTAATGTGAGATATGGTAGCGAAACTCTAGAGGAAAGATAAATAGCAATTGCTAACAAATCGACAATGAAGCTTCCCATCTATGAAGTTGATGAACGACGATAGTATGCTCAGCAAAGAAGCAGACTAGACGTAGCCCAAGACCAAAGCCAGAAAGACAATGCTATATAAATATAACACAATGTGACGTCCACAGAATGAAGGACCCCAACATCCTGGTGAAGTCTGGATCTATACTTCACTGAATTTGAATATCTCGCTTAATGCAAAATGACAAAATCTGCCCCAAAATCAAATGCGATGAACCGAAAATCTTCACAGATGAAAGACAAAAACTTAGAGCAGACAATAAGCTACAGAAGTGATTCGAGGGGTGAATCTGTTAAGAGACATTTGAATAGAAAAGACAAAACACGAAATAACAACTCACGAAGATATTGGCTCTTGAATTTTAGGAATATGTCGTTTTGGTAAAATGGTTCAGCTGACGATAAATGAAGACAAGTTGTGAGCTTGACGATGCGATATCCGTAAAGATTCCAAGTTTCAGGCAAGATATTAGATATGAAGAAGTTGAAGTAGGTATGGAAAGAAAGTAGGAGGAAATTGCCGTAGGATAATTCAAGTAAGTGATAATGAGATCAACGCGATCAAGAAAGTAATGGAAAGAATATGGGACACAAAATACCAGTGTGAAAAGAAGTAAGTATTCGGTTGTAACTTTGGGATTGTTGAGAAATTGATATCGAAGTGGGGTAGGACAAAGAGTATTGAATATATTTCGAGACTAGAGAGGTAGTTGCGACTGTGGATGGGAAAATTGATTCGTCCGAACAATGGTAGGGACGAAATTATTTCTTAACGATTGCGGGGTAGTAGTTGAGAGATGTATAAAATAAAACTAGTCCGCCTCTCAAGTATCAAGTATAGTAGTTATTACTAATAGGTCGAAGTGATTAGTGGAAGTGAATTTCCATATCAGATATACCCAAATTTTGAAAGTGAGAATGTTTTCGGTCCAGGCGAGGATGAAAAGGGGGCAACCGATGTTCATGCGAAATGTCACGAAAGAAGTTGATGCAAGTCCAAGTAACCACCAACATTCGACCAAGAAAATAAAACATGTCTGAAATGATAGATCGTGTATCGCAATTTCACATTTTGAAGGACGATTCAGAAAGTATTCAACTGATAATTCGACTTTTCATAAGAACGAGTCATTAGTCATTATTTGCCATCAAAATTCATTCGTGATACTCAGCAATATCTATCTGACGCTCTTAGCTGCCTTGATGAAAGCTTTGATCTTCTCGACACTCTGAGCACCATTTTCTTCTACGCCACTGCTGACATCAACACCAATTACCCGATCACCAAAATCACCAGCTGATAGCACAGCCTCTGCCACGTTCTCAGGGTTTAACCCACCAGCAAGAATGACTCTGAGACCTCGATCCTTGGTCAAAGTAGCTTTAACTTCTGTTATATCTAGTTTTTGTCCCGAGCCACCTGATGCGGAGTCTAGTAGAGGAATGGTATGATAACCTCTTCTCCCAAGACCAACCTGACCAGGTTTGAAGCTTCGAATGACAGGAACTGGTATTATGTTTGCCCATTCCAATGGTTCATCGCCGTGTAGCTGTACTATATCCAAATCATATGCCTTTTGCAACTCTAGAACCTCTTCTAGAGGTTGATTTTGGAAGACACCAACCAATAAAGGACGATGACTTGAAATATTGGAGGCTGCATTGCTGAAGAAATCGGATGCTTGGTTGCTCACGCGATCACTAACAACCGTTGCTGTCGTTTGTTGAGCTTGATGAACAGCTTTTGAGATAGCAATTGCATCTTTGTATGGAACATGTCGACCTCTGCCGGGAACGAGAATCATCCCGATCAAATCCGCACCAGCTTTAATAGCTTCCGTTGCGGTTTCAGCATTTCTTGTCCCGCAAATTTTCACAAGTAAACTGCCACTGGCGGGCTTTACTTGAGTAGTTGAACCGCCGAGTAATTCTCGAATGAAGAGAGCGGTATCTTTGGCTCGCATAAGCGCTTCACCCACAAGGACCGCACCTACGCCATTCTTTTGGTAGGCTTCGACATCCTTGGGGCCGGAGATACCACTGAGAGCACATACGATGGTTTCTTTCGGCACTTGACTGAGGAGACGACTTGTAGTATCTAGGTCTACCTCAAAACTGGTCAGATTCCGGTTGTTTACACCAATAGCTTTTGCACCAAGGTTGACGGCTATGGTCATTTCTTCTGATGTATTGACTTCTACCAAAGGCTCCATCCCAAGCGATACGGAATAATGATATAAGCGGGTCAAGGTTTCTTCGTCTAACATCTTAACAATGAGTAAAACCGTATCGGCACCAGCTAATCTAGCTTCTAGAATTTGATACTCTTCGAAAATAAATTCTTTTCGTAAAACGGCAGGTCGATTTGGCATGCCTTCAAGAGCCTGTCTTACAGCTCGCAAGTCATCAATGCTTCCCTTGAACCACTCTGGCTCTGTTAAAACAGAAATCACGCTTGCACCAGCCAGGGCATATGTTCTAGCTTGAGCTGGAGCGCACGTTGCTAAAGAGATGACACCTTTCGAAGGAGATGCTCGTTTGATCTCGGCCATAAGCGACAATGGAAATGGAGACTTGCGAAGACGTTGGACAAATGGGACGAGAGGGGGCGCAATATCGAGTTCATAGGCGGCCTGGAGATCGGAGGGTCGTTGGGAAGGAATTTCTTTTTGTGCGGAAACTGCAGCTTTGCGATGCGCGAAGATTTTATCCAGTATGTTCTCCTTTTTGGCGCCTGTGGAACCAGATTTGGACGCTTGTGGCGCGCTGCTTGAATCCTCTTTTTGTAAACGCTCGTTCTCCGCCCAAGTGCCACCTCGCATCTTCAAAAAGTTCTTGAGCATTATCCGACCTTCAGCAGTCAAGATACTCTCAGGATGGTACTGTACACCTTCTAGAACATATTCTTTGTGTCGAACGCCCATTATCACACCCTTCCCCCCATCAACACCGGCCTCGATCCAGGATGATACTTCGAGACATTCCGGTATAGTTGGATGTGTACCAGCAAGCGAGTGATATCTTGTTACTGGTAAGTCTTGTGGTAGACTGGCATAGACTCCTTTTGAATCGTGTCGCAATGGAGACGTTTTCCCATGTAAGATTTCTCCGGCAAATACAACCTCTCCTCCATATACGTCCAATATGCACTGCCTGCGTATTTGTTTAGTAATGTGCTACCCAATCAGCTCCTCAGTACTCACTGTCCCATGCAGACTCCAAACACAGGTATCTTGCCTGCGAAATATTTGATAGCATCTCTACTAACACCAGAATCGGTCTTCGGATGACCAGGACCAGGACTTATGACCAATTGAGTAGGTTTGAGCGCAACAAGTTCCTCCACGCTAAGTTCATTGTTTCGGTAAACGGTGACAGTCGCCCCTTCGAGAACGAGATATTGGTAGATGTTCCAAGAGAATGAGTCGAAGTTGTCGATCAGGATAACATTTGAAGCAGATGCTAGTGGGGGAGCTGGCTCTGGCTGGTGCGGAGAGTAATCGATCAACTCTGCAGAAGGCATTCTGAAACTTCTTTATCGTTTGAACAATTTATATGTTGTATAATAGAAGAAGCTATGAAAATGACAGCCTTTCTTCTCGGGTTAAAGAGAGAGGAGAAGATGGCAAGTTGTAATTCCTTTGTGAATCTAGATATCCATGAGTGAGTCAAAGATCAAAGGTCCTTCCTTTTTTTGGGTCGATGATTAATGGATTGAGTGATGGATGGATATGGATGGTGGGGAGCAGGGCAGGTACTGAATTGCTAGGATAACAAACCCTGCAAAATAAAAAAAGCTTCACCTGAAAGAATGGCTCGAGAATGGTTTGGTTACGGGACGGTGCGTGGGTGCTCATAATAATTTATCTAGCGAATGAAGCAGGTTGACCGCGACAAGGCGGACAAGGCGCGTCAACCAAAACTTTCTTAACGATTTATTGATTGTTGATATCAGATTTCTCACAACAGGAAACGATTCAACCACCGTTTGACAATTTGTGCTTTCTCATGCTTTATGCTTCGAACAACACTTCACCACAAATCTTGGCTCATTGAGCTTGGGTAGGTAGTAGATATGGTACCAATTCCAGAGGCTAGCTATTTTCCTGAGCTGGGTAGATGTTTGAAGGGAGAAGAAATATTGATGTAAGTTTGGTATTCTTGATATCGATCCCAATTGACATTCTACTAATCTTTCAATAGCTCTTGGGAGACGGCATTCTTTGCCCTTTTAAATATTCAAGAAAATGGAGCCCAAATAACACTTGAGAAGTTCTTTAAAGATCCCAAAGTACTATCTTTACTTTCCAATCCTGTCACTGCCTTCCCAGAACCTACGAACGAGACGAAAGAGGAATTCGAATCAAAAAATGCCCCAATAAATGCCGATCATTCTTCCGCAGATTATGATGTTAGCAAGGTATCTGAGGATGCACGATGGCTGAGTGGAATGGTTAAAATCGACGAGGTTACCGCTCTAAGACTCGTTGTGCAAGAACATCAATCGCGAGCATATGCGCAACTTTTGGGCAAACTTTCAGAAGAAGAGTTGATCAGTCTCCAAGATGCCTTTGGCAACAAAAAATCTACGAATTTTCTCTCCGCTGGATCTTTCATTGGCACACAAGCGGAGGTTGCGCCTTCTGAAGAAGAAAGTCGGAGAAATCGACGCATGCGAATGCTCAGCATTTACCTATCAGAACGGCGCTTTTTCTGGAAATGCCTTACATTGATAATTCAGCGACCCAGACTTTCACCCACACCGATTACTCCTTTAGACGACTGGTACGAGGGTTTACATATAAAATTGCTAGGCAGCTGGAAAAGTTCGGGCGCATCTCAAAATCGTATGGTGGAACTAGTGAAATCTATCGATGCAGGACTTACAAAATTATTCGACGCAAAAAGTGAAGGTAGCGGGTGGTCCTTGGAGGGTGATGGACGAGATGAACTTGAGCTTGAGTGGGCAAGTAACCAGATCATCGAGGCAACCCACATGATGGAGACTATATTTTATTACATATTCTCTTCTGATACAGCGCTTGAAATCTCTCACTCAGACTTGGTGCTTGAATGGTTTGATTTTATTAGCAAGTTTAAGTTCTTGGACGAGATGGGAATGGTACGTTTGGGATTCATACTCTCTTATATGCTCACTACTGACCAAACACCACAGCTTCATCCGACTCTTCAAGCTGTTGCTCTACCCTTACAGACCATTAGCGCCATCATAACATTTGCCATACTCAATGTCGATAGTTGTTTAATATTCCTCGAGAGACCGTCGAAAGATTTAGCACCCGCGGATTTGGCTGAGGGTCCGAATAAGCCATGGCTATTAAACCAAACTGCAATTATTAAACTTCATCAAATACTCACCGAGGCAGCGTCCGCGAATTATATCACGGCTGGCCCTGCAGTTCTTACCTGGAGCGTTATTTTAAAACATATTAAAGTTCGTGTCGATCTTCGAGAGAAACTTCAGCGCCGACGACACGAGGGTCTTAGTGATAATGACGAATATAACGATGAACCATTGCCGATTGGGTCGGAGCCTATACTTGCCCCCGATGCCTATGAAGGAGTACTTACAACAATCAAAGTCACGGACGAACTTGTCGATTATCTAGCTTTGAGCGCTGTAAACGACTGTCGTGTTTTCGAAGTACTAGCAAACATTTCACGGACTCTTGGTGACACTTATGATGCAGCTTTCATGCCACAACTTGGTTCAAGCTTGAGAATCGCAATATTAGAGCTCATGAAGGCAAGTGCGCCTGACGTTGGTTACAATGCTCAAACACTGCAAACCGTGGTTTCTGTCATGGATGGGGGTCAGCAATATTGGGATTTTGTTGATCTACGAAATGTTGAAAGCGAGTTTGAGCCAATATCCTATTTTGTCACTGACGTAGGATTGGTTCGCGAGTTTTGGCAAAATGCTAGTATGCGCTATCCTTGGGAAGCTCCCCCTTTTCAAACCCTTGTTCGTTCTTTGGCATATCTGCATGACGCTGATGGAGGAGTCCACGAGTCTATCTTTCCATTACTAGACTCTCGACCAACCTTTACATACCTATTACCATATCAATACGCCGATTATGAGACAGTTCAAGAGGAGCATAACAATAATTCTATTCAACTGACTAGGGGGCTTTCTATGTTTGAGCCTCGAGGGCGTGGTATCAGCAGAAGACTTTTGATAGATAATGGCAACCAGGGACAGGCTTTAGTACTGGCAGCAGCCAACGGCGATCTACAAATTCCAGCTGGAACGCCTGGTGTTGTGATAGTCGAGAATGACCCAAAAGTAGTTCACCTTACCCACCATTATCGCGGTATGAGGTATTTCGGGAAATTGCTAGAAACATATCTAGTTGCGGGCGAAGAATATGACGCTACTACTGGCATGGGAGCGGACTCTGAGACTGTTGCTGATATCATTGGAACATTTGCGACGGGTCTTCTAGCCTTATCTAGGTCAGACAAAGAAGCAGAGCAAATTCAAAATGATGCCACCGAATTTTTCCAAGTTGCAAGCTCGGCATTGAACCGGAATAGAGATATTACTCTCGTTATATCTGCTGTCTTTGAACAAGAATTGCAAAGGCAATCGAGCGAATCTAGTTCTGACGCCTCTCTTGATATCCTAATTAGCTGCATACAATATCTACATGCCTTACTTTTATTTTCGCCTGGAAGAGTGTGGCCTCTTATTGGTCGTAGTGGACTTCTATCTGATGGCCGCGGTGGTAGCGGTAAACTCGCTAGTATCGTTGGCAGGGTCGAAGTTATATCGGGGAGGTACTCATTCCTCGTATCATGCACTCGACTCTTTGAGGCACTGGTCAATGATTTCGCAGTAAATGCTATCGCGAGAAACCGCAAAGTAACTATGGCTCCAGCTCGGTTTAGCGAGGTCGAGGAACATAATGTTCGCGTTGCGGATAAAGTTCTCTCTGAAGTTCTTCTTCACTTTACTCGATACCTGACGGAGGTACTAGAAAGTTCGTACACCTGGCAGTTTGATCAACCTAGCGATCAACTCCAACTCACAAAGACCATTATGTCTTCTTTCGAAAAAATGCTTACATATTCTTTCGGAATCCAGGGTGATCCAGAAGAACTGCCACAGTCGGACTCTCGTTCAAAGTCAGATCTGGGTAGAGATTCCAAAGATCATCAAGATCCTGCTATTCCAATCATGAGTGCTTTAAGCCCGGCTGCCATGCACATTGTTGATAGCTATCTTTCCAAGTCTTCTGGCCCCATGAGATTTGGACCAATTCTTCGCACCTTATTCTACGGCTTCAATACTCGTTCTACCACAATGTATACAAACAGATCACTATTAGTAGCAGGGGGCGTGAAAGCAGCACTTAAATTCTCCAGGCAACTTCTTCGAATAAGTGCATTATTAGAGAAGCCATCACATCTAGAGACACAGCTATTCACTGCTGCACCACTCATCGCACGACTATATGCTGTGAATGATAGCTATCGTACTCCCGTCATAAAATTGTTCGAGGCGATGATAGTCAGCGCTTCGAGTAGTACCTCAGAACCACCTTCACTCCTCGGTTATCTTGGCGCGAAGACTTCGAAGAATTTCCTTAATGTCGTGTCAGATTTGGATACACCTTTGAATAGAGATGAAAATGTTGGATCGATTTGGCATTTCCTGTCGATGATAATGAGCAGTCGACAACAATGGTTCGCGAATTATGTTCTCACAGGCAAAACGCCGAGAGACGCATTAAAAAAGAAAAACCCTGATGTTGCCAAATCTTCATCCCCAAAACCTCTTCTTCTCACAGCGCTTGACAACCTTTCACAAATCGGAGACATTCCGGATTCAGAAGCTTTGATGATGTTAGAATTCGTTTCATTGGCACAGAATTTCTGGCCTTGGACTATGCACGAGTTAGAATCTAGCACAGGCTTCATCAATTATCTTTCAAATTACATCAGCACTCTGAAACCTATTCAAGTGTCGTCTAAGAGTGAGCCAGCGATTAAGGCTTGCTATCGGACTCGAATTGCGGCTTACATTGCCGAGATTCTTGCAATGCACCTTTTCCATTCTAGACAAACTGGCAAACCTTCAATTGCCAAAGATCTCATGCCCAAGCTGAATTATTACTATGAGAATGCAGGGGGACTTCCTACCTACAATGCATCTCTGCATGGCAACCTCAAGAAAAACTTTGATGTCAAGTATGCTAGAACTAGTCTCCAGAGTTTCAAGAAGACGGATCTAGAGGATCGCAAATTCGGCGAGAACTATTTTTACGACCTACAACTACTTGACCAAATGCTCCGTTCTGATGTAGCTTGGACAGGACGTAGAAACGATGGTTATAAATTCGAGCTTGCAAGTGCTAACATCAACTTGTCTTTGGTTGATGCTCAGGTGGTAAGTAATCTATGCTCAAATTTAAAGGTTAAATCTAACAATCTCAGGCTCTATTGAACGCTTGGAAAATTCTTGCCGTTGAATTAACTAGCAATATAACTAAGGAATCTGATCATCAAGAGACCCTTATCGATGCTGCTCTCAAGTGCCTTGCCTCAAACGCACAAAGTCCGCAAACAGAAAAGATATTTTCACGATTACTTCAAACACGTGCAGACTTTGCGCTTGTTGCCTGTCAACGGTTGATAGAAGCAAATCCAAGGTGCCCTAAGATGAAGAACCTTCTCAAAATAGTATGGGAGACAGTCCGGACCTTGGACAAAAGCTTTGCGATGGCGATTGCAACAGGAGATGGTCCATATTATAGACTGCTTCTCAAAATTTTATTCTTGGCTTTGAGAGTCCATTCTGAAGATAACAACGTCGGAGATATTGACCCCAGGGTTTCTACACGAAAACAACAATTGGAATCAGAATCGACAGCAGATATCTATATGATTGTCGACGTGATAGAACGTGTAATTGCTGGCGGCTTCAGTGATCTCGCTCATATCATTCACGACAATCATGAAGAGTCATCTCCAGAAGACATCGCCCTCATCACAGGGCTTTTGCAAGCCTGTCTCCGGATACCAGGCATCGAGTTCCATCACTCACAGATTGTGACCATCATGGCTAATTGCAAGACCCCTCGTATTGCTACTACACTCTTCTCCTGGTCTGACCAAATTGCGATAAACGGTGATCCCATCTATGGTGAACTGAGCATTATTTTCCTCTTGGAACTCTCAAGTATGCCAGCCATGGCCGAACAGCTCGCTGTCGATGGCGTCCTCGGCCAGGTCAGTTCCGCAAGCATAACCACTTATCTGCGTCGTGGAAACGTATCTCCATTCGCTGATGGCGCCGGCATCCAACGTTGCTACAACATTTGGGTCCGCGGCATCCTCCCTTTAATCCTCAATCTTCTCCATTCAGTCGGTGCCTCTATCGCCACAGAGGTCGCAATCTTTCTAAACCAATTCCCTCATCTCCTCGCTCAATCTGCAGCTGCGTTTGATGCACCCGAATCCTCACGCACTACTTCGATATCAGCCCCAAAACATCTTTGTTTGTCGACAGCTTCCGAAGTTCACTCTCTAGCTCTGATCGTCTATATTTTGAATGGTTTTAGAGAACAGTTACAGGGAATACAGGTGGTGCCGGAAGTGGATTGGGACTTGGGCGCGGTGGCAGAGAATGTTGAGTTTTGGCTAGGAAGTCGAGCGGTCTTGAGAGAGAGGATAGTGCCGATGGGTGATAAGGATTTGGATTGGAGGGGGAAGAAAATAGAGGCTGGAAAGGCGGGGGCAATGGGATGTTTGGATCGATTGGAGGAGAAGGTGGTATTTGAGATGATGGGAATCAGGGATGTGATTAGTGGGGGTGATCCATGAGTGGAATGGGAGGGACAGGATGTGAATGATGTATGAGAGTGGCGTTATTTCTGTTTTTGAGAGATAAACTGAATACTAGAACATGCACAATTAATTTTTTTGTATCAATGGGAAGAAAGATTATGATATGACGTCTGTAGATTGACAGTCTTTTGCATCATAGAATCATATTCGTTAAAAGTTCAGGAGATATTTTCCGACTGATTCAAGAGGTGAATTCCGAGTTTTCATCCATCATGTACTATCCACACATTATCTTTTTATAGACAATAAATTTCTCATCAATTTTCATTCCCACCATCCGTAATGCAGGCATTCATATTCATATCGATATTTTTCTTCAACATCGACTCCATCCTCAAATATCTATCGTACAACCCCATTCTTTCATTTCCCCTTCCCACTCTCTACTATATCGCCAGACCAGAAGGATCGATTTACCTTGACCCAGGAGGAGGTTGACTCATCATCTGTGCTTGCTGTTCTTGGAATCTCTGACCGATGCGCTCACTTCCAGCCATGAATTTTTGGACGCAGCGGGAGACGCAACCGGTTTCGCGGGCGATGAGGGATTTGGTGGAGAAGTCGTCGACGCAGGAGTCGAAGCAGTGGGTTACGAGGTTGGAGAACATCTGTGGATGGGGGTGGGGTTGTTAGTTGGAGGTTTTGGGATGGAGATTAGGGGGGTGAGGGGGAGTGCGAGATATTGGGGAGAGAGGATCTGGAACTCTCCAAATATGCTGTTGCGAAACTTATTGGCTGAGCGCTAGCTAATCGCCATTTCGACAATGCTACGAGTGTTTGCATTCCTCGGGGATAGAGTGTAAATAGTAAGAGTGGGAAAGGTATGGCTGCTATAATGTAGGTTTCGAAATTCCGTTGTGGTTCGTAGGAGTGACGAGATCTCAATGAGAGCTGTGAGGATTGATCTAGCGGGCCGGCGGATTAAAGATGCTCGATCGAAAGGTACCGACAGGCTACTACTCGAGATTGAGAGAGGATTTCCGGCTGTAGCATGTTCGATACAAGTCCAATTGGAATTCGTGTTTTTTCGTTCTACTGGGTGGGCTGCGCAGGATGATGAAGTGCGACGCGGGGTATGATGGACAATCCTCGTATTATCTCTGCTGCATTTCCCCCGCTTGGAATACTTGGAAGGTTTCGTATTCGACCATATGGAAGTGAAAATACATAGAAGATCTTGACTTACGCCCATGAATTCCTTCATTTGCTTTCTTTCCATACGGCTTTGGAATTCTCTTTGCTCTGAGGGGGTGAGTCTATTTGATCATGGTTAGTAAATTGGATTAGGAGAGTTTTGAAGAGCCGAATAGCTCTGTTACTCACCCTTCCATGATGAATATTTGAAATAGATGTAAGAGAGATTGAGAAGTTTGACAGATTTATTGAGATGTTTAAATTTGTTAGAAAGACTTGTCAAGGCTGATGGATGAGGCTGATAAACTCTTCTGTTCTTGGAAGCTATCCAAATTGAAAGGCTTTTAGCAAGGTAAATAGTTAGAGCTCTGTTTATTGGGTCGGTTAATGTCGGAGTCTGATAACTTTTATCCGAAGTTGATTGTGGCCCCTGCACAGATTTCCTTGTTGATCCATAGTAACTTTTTGATCAGATCTTACAATTTCCTTTCTTCACTCACCTAGGTATTGACATTCGAATACTAACTACATGTATTCATTCTATTCGAAAGAGAGAATCGGTACAACAAGCAGACAAAGCATGTTACATTCATTAGTCAATTGATAAAGGAGTACAAGAACTGTACTTTTGCCATGTCCTCTTCTCTCTTTATACATGAAATGAAGATCTTCTTGTGAGAAGCTAGAAGCAGGTCACTATACCTAAACAATCACCAATTCATTTCGCATTGCATCCTAAATTGATGCATGAGAGTACAATGCAAAAGGACCAAGCAACTGAAGCGATGGGGAAACCATGGGGGTAATGACTACCGGTACCTAGGTAGGTAGGTAGCGTTTGTTTTCATTCAATGACTTATTAAGGTACTGACTTCAATACTGCCCCGCCTGAAAGAAGAAGAGTACAAAAGTTTATTCGTAGATAGATACATGCAGACAGGAACTGATACAGGAACCGATACAGGAACTCCTATATGTTTCTGGTATTAAGGGTTCATCCATCTCCTCCAATCGATTTGTTTTCGTTGCCCTGGATATGAATGAAAGGAGTATACAAGAGTACTGAGGACCTAGGTGATATGAATGATGTTTTGCCAGCTCATGTATTCCCGTTGTTCATAGGTATCTGAGGAGTGTACCAGGTCAGTGATCAAATATTTCATCTAATTATAGATGTACTCACTGGCCATGACCCTCTCTCTATAAAACCTCCAGCCAAAAAAAGTCCAGATCTTTGTTCGCTACTAATCCTGTCTCGCAAAACAGGGTGAATAATTGGTAGATCAGTCAGGACCTACTTTTCTGCAAAAAGCTGTAATTCATTAACATGATAGTATCTTACAATGAAACTTCAAAGCAACCTGCCCACCTCACTCTTCATCAAAATGGTACTGTAGACGGCCGTTGGCTTTGACGCGTGATTCTTGAACTTGGGATTCCCTCGTATAAATGGTAAATTTCAAACTTTCCACAACATTGGAAACTTTATTAGACAAACAAACCAGCAAATTGAAAGTCTGACGTTGTCTTCACTCTTGTACTGTCCTCTATTTTCCATGGGTCAGCAGGGCAGAGTTTGAGTGAAAGCTTGCAATACCACTACTGTACCACTATTTACACGACTAGACTGTAGACCACACAATGTACTTGGATTCCAATGTACTGCACTTCTTAGCGTCACTCTCCACTCGTTAAGTTTCTACTGTCCGAACTCTTTCACTTCAAATCAACCACCACCACCACCTCTACTGTTCCTTGATATTTTCAACCATTATCAGCAACTCTACGCATTTATCGTCTCGCAACAACTTGATTGTTTTGCTAACAACCAGATCCTTCAAGTTCGACTTTCATTCCTCTTGCTTTTGCAGAGCCCAAAAACCTTACATTACCAACTACACTTGCTCGAGAGACCCGGTCGCGTCGCAAATAGAAATAAGCCCCTCCAGCAACACAATCCCCACAAACAATCACTGTACCCACATCAACAATACCTATCATTGCTGTCGCATGCACCTTCATTCTCAATTACGACCGACCAGAACTTAATCAGAAGACTTCCTCTATTCTCTTGACCCATCCGAATCAACAATATAGATATTTCCACGTCGTGCGAAAACTGATTTCTGCTGCCGGTGTCTCCCCCCAGACTTGCTGGGCCTCGAGGTCCTTTGCGACATCAATTATCGCTGGAGCTATCTTTCGTACATTGTCTGGACGATCAGCAGATCTGATCGAACAACTCCAGTATGCTGTCTGATCATCCAACGTCTTCAACTACACAACAGCCCTTTTCGAGCCCCCAGCCAGCCCCCATACAACAAGCCGCATCACCCCCAACGAAGCAGAGTTTGAAGAGCTGGTGGAAGACATTTCGACCTCCTGCTAGGACTCAGGAGCCCAGTACTGGTAAAGACCCCCCAAAGTTTCTTTTGTTGAAGGCCCAGAAACAGAGTGAGGATCTGGGCCATTCTCTCTATGCCAATTTTGTTTCCAATCTGCCGAGAAATTTGGATCCTCTATTCAAGGAGAATGCAATGGACAACAATACATCAATAGTAGACGGCACTCCAGAGTTTGCGACAGATACAGTACCAGAAGCAGACGAATTAGCGACAAAGACACAATCAAGCACAACAACTTTCACAGGACATACACAGTCTCTTCACGAGTACAAGTCTAGGAGTCTTCTCTGGCCGTCATCTTCCAGTTTAGTGTCTGGAAAACATATTTTGATGGACAATTCTCAGCTCAATTCCAACTATGAAACCAGACACCCCCAGTCAACAAGTGGTATAAAACGAAGAAAGAGAAGTTCTTTCAGCAAAAAACTGTCCAAGGATATAGCAGCTAAGCAGCGTTCCAAAATCCGTGTTCAAAACAATCATAGCCATTATATAAAGCAGCAAAGCACCCAATCTCTAAGCAGAAGTCAACAATTGCTAAACTTCTGTCGTTATCATCACATAAAATTCAGCTTGTTAAAATTGGTAACAATGATAAAATCAAAACTGACAAAAGAAACTCCAGAATCCCAACCAACAGGTATATTTGGTGTACCTTTGCGACAGAGTATCGCATATGCAAATGTCGCTATCTCCCTCGTCGATGCCCAAGGACAAAGCTACATATATGGTTATGTACCAATAGTGGTTGCAAAGTGTGGAGTTTATTTGAAAGAGAAAGGTATGTTTCGTGAATGGATGTGTTATTTTGATGTCTGGCTGACAACTATCCGAACAGCAACCAATGTTGAGGGAATCTTCCGGCTCAGTGGCTCGGAAAAGCGCATTAAAGAATTGAAAACAATTTTTGATTCTCCCGATCGTTATGGAAAAGGCCTTGATTGGGCTGGGTACACAGTTCATGATGCGGCAAACGTGCTACGAAGATATCTTAATTTACTACCAGAACCAATTGTCCCGCTTGATTTATATTCGCGATTTAGAGAGCCTTTAAGAGGTCATACTATGGCAGCAGTTGGCGACAGTGATGGTAGCCCCCAATTTTCTGACAATTTTGATGTCAACAAGGCCATCGTTACTTATCAGCAACTGATCACCGAATTACCCCCATTGAATCGTCAGCTATTATTATACATTCTCGATCTCCTAGCAGTTTTCGCCTCAAAATCGGATGAAAATAGAATGACAGCAGTCAACCTCGCAGCCATCTTCCAGCCCGGTATGCTTTCACACCCGGAACATGACATGGCACCTGCGGAATATCGTCTAAGTCAAGACGTACTAATTTTCTTGATTGAAAATCAAGATCATTTCCTAATTGGGATGAGAGGTACAGCAGCGGATGAGCAGACATTAAATGAGGTGGAACACGGTACTCCTCCCCCAGGAACTCCCACTACGCCTGGTAGATCGAAGACCGCAATTGGAAGATCCGCCTCAAATGCTAGCGCTGGAGCCGATAGTGTGCGCAAGTTCGGTGGCATTCGACGTAATGTGTCTGTCTCGTCCCGTCATTCGCGACAGTCGAATGGTGCCCCCAGCCCGGCAAGTCCAGCTTATGGTATTGCACTTACTTCTTCATCCAGCGGTGGTGTTCATAGAAGCAATACTGTACCTTCAAAGAAATCCCCTGGATTGCCATCATCTCGAATGATTAAAAATGCTGGCCCACCCTCACCATCCCCAGCTGGCCTAACTGCCAATCGTTCCAACGGACCTCGAGGTCTTTCACCTGCGCTTCCTCCATCTCCTGGTCATCTTTCGCCGTCTCCAGCTTTAGCACTGAACACGACTACCGAATCAAGTCTTGCCGATTCAGGCCATACGGTGACCAGCCAGGAGCGCCTGATTCCCGAATCAAGTGAGCGCTCTCCTGAGGTCTCTACTCCATCTAGAATTGTCTCAAACCTGTTTCAGCGATCACCTACGGAAAGTACCGATAGACGACAACCTAATAAGCTAAGGAAAAAACGTGCTCCAGGAAGCTCGAATCTTAGCGCTCAGAGCTCGACAAATTCTTTGAATGGGCGATCATCTTCAATCTCCCCGGGCCTTCATGCATCTCGTGGTAACTCGGATCATGCAGAGCATCCTCATCTGGAACATTTGTCGACATTGAACCCGATATTGTCTAATACTCAAGCTACACCTCCCGCTACTGAAACCCCGCGTGCTGAACAACCTCCTCATTTTACACCTATGCGACCAGAGGATCCTCACCACCCATCCGATAGAACCTTGCGCCCGGTCATATCACCTGTATCTTCCTTACATTCTCACTCATCTTTCAATGATCAATCGGATCTTGATCATGGGGAAGATCCTGCTCTCGCAGAGGCAAGAGAAAAACGTTCAATGTGGCGTCTTTCGCGGCGCAGAGATGACTCAAACACATTGGGAGCTACATTGAGCCCAAACAAAAATGGGTCAGATAGTGGTGCTGGTGCGAGCTCAAGTTCTGTAGGCAGCTCAGGCAGACCTCGAAAGAGTTTCACTGGCGATACTGTGCCTGTCGGCCCTGACTCAGGCTTACCCCACGCTCAAATCATGTCCAGCAATGATAGTGGATCTGTCGCGCCCGAGGAGAGAAGAGGACCCCTAGGATGGATCAAAAGCAAGATGCGAGAGAAGCGAGATGAGAGTCGGGAGAAGGATGCTGAGCGGGAACGTAATAAAACTCCGCCCGGCGATCGCCCATCTAACATCAGTTCTTCGGCCCTAGCCCCGCGGCGCAAGAGCATAGACGTCAATAGAGGAGAAGAATCTGAGCGTCCCAACGGGAAAGAGCATAACTTATCTCAATAATAATTCTGCGAGATGACGAGATGGTTATCAGGTTATTTTCAGCATTTCAAAGCACATTTCATTTACTCGGAGTCCAATCTACGACAGCTCTAATAGGCTCGCTGTTTATTGGTTATAAAGATCGGTGCCCCCGATCATGACGCGTCTTTCCCACCCGATTTCTGTTACATGCGTGCATTTGTCCCTTTTTTGTTTGCGCTTCCCCGGAAACCCATCTTAATAAAAATGATAGGAATTTTCCGTGAATCATGGCTGTGGTTGGAGATGTTAAATTTGAGGATTGGGGTTTATTTTGAGTGCATTGCCTCGTGGAATTAAGGATTCATCATTTGTCGTCGAAATTTTCACCCTTCCATGTTCTATATAGAAGGATGGTACAAAGAAGAAAAGAGGAAGGGTATAAATGGGTGAATTGTGACAATCACGAATTCGATGATCTGATGAATTACTGGTATTGGCAAAGGAGTTTATTTTTTCTTGAATGCTTTTACGAAAATCAAAACGAATCAGGTCTTCAATCTTCTGGGCTTCAGGGGAGCAGGGCATCTCCTTGTGGGATCATTAGGATGCGACGAAAACTTGAATCCATAAGGATAATCTTGATACGACTCTTATGATTGGGATGGATCGGATGAATGTTTGGCTGGATTTGGGAAAGAATGGATAGGGTATTATGAATATAACGGGAACGGGGAAATGATGGATAGAGACTTTAAAGTTCCTACCTTTTTTGTGTGATAGGTTTGACCGTGGTGAGGAGAGAGATAAAGACAGTGAAGTTGAGAAGTCTAAGATGGGACGAAATGTTCAATTCTTTTGTATGTATTTTGAAGTAATTGTGAATGAGTAAATGAAAGAAAGGGACTTCTGATATATATATTATGACTTAACTTTTGAGGGACTAAATGGGATTGAAAATGAAATGGATAGTCTCCCTATGCTTGCAGATAACATCGTCATTGGAGATACTTATCAGTTAGCTACCTACTCGGTAACTAGGTAGCATGCTCTCGAGAGCTAAGACTCAGTCCGTAGATCAAGCGGCAGTCTATCGTATTTCTAGCCCGTTGACGGAACGTAATGTAATTAATTCTCTTTGTGGCGAATGTTTGCGAATGTAGAATGTAGAATGTAGAAATTCCTTCTCGAAAGTCTGAAGATGGATGAGTGGATGAGTGGATGATTGAGTGAGTGGATGATTGATGAATAGCTAGATAGGTATGCTATGTTATGTTATGCTATGCTATGCTATGCTATGATGTTTATTGCATTAGTGTTGTGTGTTGTGGGAAAGGTGGAAGTGGTGTGGATTGGTGGTGGGTGGGTGGATGGATGGATGGATGGAAGGGGGAGGGGGAGGGGTAGAGAAGTTTGGGAGGGAGGGGGAGATGGAACTTGGGAGTGAGATGTCTTTTTGGATTTGGATTTGGATTTGGATTTGGGGGGTGGGATGGGAGTGGTGAGGTGAGGTGAGTGGTGAGGAGGTGAGGTAGATGGAGTAGATGGCTTGTGTGGAGTGCTGTGTAGTGTGTAGTGTGTTGTGAGTGGTGTGGTAGTGTACATTGCTTTGTGGTGGTGGCGGGATGTGTGTGGTTTTTGGAGGGTTTTGAATATAGAATTTTGAGTAGGTAGGTAGGTAGGTAGGTATTGAATGTTTGGGAGAAAGGGAAGAAAAGAAAAGAAAAGAAGGAAAAAAGGTAGAGAGAAAATAGAGAGAAGGTAAAGAGAAGGTAGAGAGAAGGTAGAGAGAAGATAGAGAGAAGGTAGAGAGAAGGTGGAGGATTGAAATTGGAGGTGTTAATAAATATACTCGATATATACTTGTATCGTAGGTATGTAATGCAATGTAGATAATAATAATGACGAGTATATTATAAAATCGAAAACGGGTTCTGCACATAGTACTTTTGGAATATATATCGTATACAGGTGGTTGAACTTTGTATTACATGTTAGGGATTTGTATGCGATGTATATCGTAATAATATGAATATACTATTCTTTTCTTTTCTTTTCCTTTCGTTCTTTTCTTCTTCATTCTTTTTTCATTCTATTTTTTTCTAGAAGGATAAGCTGGGTATGATGATGTACGATGTACGATGTATGATGTATGATGTACGATGTCCTCCGTACTCCGTAAGAAGTTCTAAACTCGGATCTGCGCCCGCGACTGCGCCTGCGACTGCGGGCGGATACCGGGGATGGGGAGCATGGCGTTGCCGGATACGAAGGGTTGGGATTGAGGAGTATGTGTGTGGAAGGTATGGAAGGGTTGTAGAGGGATTGGTTGAGGGATTGAGGGATTGGGCGATAAGTTTTTCTACTTTGGTCTTTTTATACGAATTGTGTATGAGGATTTGATATTGTAGTTTTATTCTATGTATTCATCTCGAGTCTATGCATGTATGTAGTATGGAGTCACCTTATGGATAGAGAATGGAGATGATGATTTGATCAGTCACGACTCACTAGCTCCTTCAAGATTTTGATATTATGGACCCCTATTCTTAGACAGACAGACAGACCTCGCGATCAAAATTCTCCTGAACTCAAGAAAGAGTTTGGAGGGTAGAACGGGTATACCTCGCCACTAGTTTAAGGTCCAAGACACTGGATTGACGGCGTTTGGTGACTGGTCGACGTTAACCAAGCAGGGTGAGTGCTCGGGGGCTCGGGGGCTAGGTCAAGCGAGGCGCGGCTGGGGTTCATATGATTGCCATTGGTTGTGCTGAGACTAGGTAGGTAGGTAGAGGTAGGTAGGTAGAGGTAGGTAGGTACTGGGGGATTGATGAACAAGTAGTGCATATCTTTTATGCAGGCTGCTATTTATGGATGGGTACGGGGCTTGGGGGTTTGTCAAGATGGGTGGTTGGGTAGGTAGGTAGTGATTTGCTTCAGGTTTTTTCGAAGGTGGTATGGATAATCTGATGTTGTTGGGAGGATTTGATTGGAATGGTGATGGGGTTACATGAAATGAATAGGATGATATACATTTTTAGGTCGAGTCAGAAATATGAAGAGGTGAATAAATATCAAAGACACATGCCAATGATGTATACCCGTTATAAGTAGAAGTAGGGTGATGTCGCCATCAACATACGCGGATTGCTTTTGAGCGATTTTTGGAGCTTCTTGTCCTTACGCACTCCGTACGGTCTTACATATGGGTTGTTTCTCCTTCGAGACCCGGTGGAAAGTGGGTCGATTTGAGGTAATACATGAAGCCATCCGAAGACAGAAAAATGAGAGCACCAGAGCATGGTTGGGTCGGCTGCATACAATCAGCTTGTGCTGTAGATACTTCTCGAAGCATTCAGATGCAAGTAGCGAAGAGCGACGCTACTGGTTTGCTCTTGATTGTGAGGATATTCGTATACACGGAGGACAAAGTAATCTTTGGTGGGGACCGAAGTCTCAAGTGGAGTGAGGATTTGAAGATGGTTGGCCTGGGATGGAATGGTAGATTTTGAGGTTCTGGTCTGAATAATGCGCGATGTGACATGGAAATGCAACAATTGGGTGAGTGGAAAACTGGCATCGTCATTCTTTGGCGGCGGTAAGTATGGATCCTGGTATGGATGGATATTCGGGGTTTCTTCACCACTTGAACCAACTAGAAAGAAAACTCGAGTCGACAGTGAAAGAGTCAATGTCAATGCATACAATTAGTTGCATAGAGGTGCATATCCTTTTCCACCATCTCTTTAGCCTCGTATTATTGCAAGAAGATCATCGCCATCACATGTAGGTACTCAACCGGAAACGTATATTGTCTCTGATACCCCTCGTTGTGTATTGATGCGAAGAAGAGTTTTCCAATCCATTTGCTCACTTGCTTCCGTTACCATTCGTATATCGAATCGCTCGCTCGCTCACTCAATCACTCAATTCCTCACTCGCTAGCTACGAATAGTTTATTGACATTCATTCTTTGCTTTCTACGGACGAGCTAAAAGCATAGCAGACGAACTGGCACGATTAGCTGGAGTTCTCATACCGACTCTACCGTACTATATATATATATTGAGGATCAGCTCTCATTAAAAGAACAAGGTACGTGAAGGGGACCAAGTTTTCTTCATCCTCCTTTACTGTTGCACATCATACCTTATCATACATATCATACTTTCTCGTATTCATATGGCAGTTCCGAGTATTCCCAGTCTCATATGAACTATGATCTCGAATTCTCCATAGAAGGAGAAACAGTTCCTTGTTCGCGAAGTGGTCGCTTTGATAAATGCTGCCCTTTTTTTCAGCATTTACCCTTGATACCCTGATATTACCCTATACCCTTGCGCTGTATCACTCCCAAAATAATGCTTGTTTCCTTTTTTTTCTTTCTCCATCAATCCACCCGAAATTCTTACAGCTCCTTCTTAGTATCTTCTAAGTTCTTAATAAGTATCTTAGCACCTTTTAGCACATCTAAGCACCACTCATTATCGCAAACCGCAGCACTGTTGAATCTACTGGCTCGTCCCTTCCAAAACATTTCGAACCACTTCCCACTCCCTCCTCCCCCCCATGTGTTTCTTGCCCAGTCTTTCCTTCCTTTCTCCGCAATAACAATCTAGTCCTGAGTACATCGTACCAGACTCATGGTAATTGATAGCTAGCTAGCTAGCTACCTTGGTTTATACCCAGCCACAACATAAAGGGCAAGTGATGTCCTGAATGAGAAAAAAAGCTAAAACCTTTTCCGTTTCTCTTGTTTCAAACAAAACTCCCATCCTCTCTCTTCCTCTCTAATAACAAATCAATTGCTCAATTGTCCCCTCATAATAAAACTTGTCATACATTCAATTGTCTGACAATTCATCCATCATCATCCTTCGTTTCTCGTTTCTTGATCTCTCTTCGTTCGTTTTACCTTTAAGTGGCATCACAGCTCACTACTGCACCTATTTTACAGCTGCATTGCATTGACATTCGTTCAAACCCCTAATATAATCCTTGAAAATTGTTCTTCTGTCTGGAATACCTTGAGAGTTGAGCAATCATGAGTTCAACAGCTAATGAACAAAAGATCCAAGATCTTGAGCAAAGGCTCGATTCAAGTGTCAATAGTCCTTTGATGTCAGAGACCGATTCCTATATCAACGAGAAACAAGATATCGAAGCGAATAAACCTCGAAAGTCGGAAAATATGCCTTCAATTCGACAATTCTTATTGACTCTTATGGTCTTTTCCCTCCTCACTATCACCATCGTTTCTGCCGCTACCACGAACCGAAATCCAAGAAATGTATCACCTCCTTGTATGGAAGATCAACAAGCCTTTAGAGAATTGCTGGATACTGTTGAACCTGCCATGTTACATGATGTGCTTCACCAACATATGACGGAGAAATATCAACATGGCGTTTATGAAGATGACAAGGATGCTTTGGCAGCTGTTTACAGACAGGAACCGGCAGTCGCACATGCATTGGTTGAGGCAGCAAAGGCAAATGCTATGATTGAATTGGCTAAGAGACAAGTTGGATCAAACTCGACAGCTACTCCGGCTCCAAGTACAACATCGGCTGCTACTTCGAATACTGTCGTTACTTCCGAATCGGCCACGACTTCACCTGCCACAACTTCGGCTCCAGCTACTCCATCTTCCACAGTGGCCTCTACTACATCTGTGGCAACGACCCCTACTTCGGTGACAACACCTGCAACTACCTCGCCCACTACGCAAGCAGTTTCGCCCACCACCACAGCTCCAGCTTCAACTGCGACTCCAACCACGGCACCAACCACGGCACCAACAACTGCTCCAACTACAGCTCCCACTACAGCTCCCACTACTGCACCAACCACCGCATCATCGACTCAGGTTATTACAAGTGATGGAACTACCACAACTGCAGTGGTACCGGTGACAACAAGTACACCAACATCTGCGGCATCTACAAGTTCGGGTATGTTCAAAATCGGGTCGACCTCGTGTTCTTTTTCTTCTACTTCTACTTCTACTTTTGCATTGCCCGTCTTCTTTTTTGTGAATTCTACTTTTTCTGCTTTTTTGCCTACCAAGATACCTCACGACTCCTCGACCTCGACTACAGGCTCGCATCCTGTTACGTTGATGTCTTTGGAGTCTAGTTCCACGGTATCGTCTGCGATTTCCATATCTGCAAGTTCAACGATATCCCTGGGAAGTCTTCCCGTGTTTCTTAATGTTATAATTTCTAGTTCTACTTCTCTTGGATATTCTTCTACAGGAGTGCCTGTTTTTGATTCCACTTCCGTTGGACATCACCCCCCTTCATCGATTCCCGTGTCTGGTCCTGGTCCTATTTCTGGAAACCATGGCGCTTCCTTGACTTCGGAGTCCACTTCTAGTTTGGTAGGACATGATGATATTTCTCTTGTATTGCCGTTGCCGTTGCCTATTTCCACTTCCATTGGATCTCAGGGTAGCTCCGCAACATCAATCTCTAGTTCTTTGGTCGACCTTCCTAGCAATGTTTTTTCTTTATCAGTTTCTGGCTTAAACTTATACTCGGATTCAGGATCGACTTCTACCACTAGTGCTCAATCTCAATCCCAATCTCAATCTCAAAGCTCTGCGACTTCTCAAGTGGCTCCATCTACAACAGAAACTTCCACTTCCGCCCCTCAAACTACTGAAACATCTTCAGGTACCACTACCTCCGTCCCCGTGACTACAGGAGCTTCTACAAGTGAGGCCTCCATTTCTACCAGAGTGTCCACTTCTCAGGCCACTGCCTCTGGAGCTACTACCTCTGCTGCTACCTCAAGTTCTACTACAGAGGCTTCCAGTGATAGTGTTTTATCTACATTGACTAATTCTGCGAGCTCTCTTGCTACTGATTCTTCTTCTATTGTGGCTGTAACTTCAACATCTACTAACATGGCCGAATCCACAGCTTCTTCAGACGATACTACTACACAAGCCGCTGAAGCGACCAGCAGAAGAACAACCAGCAGTACTTCTACCAGAGTTTTTACCACAACATTACCCAATGGATCCCTATCAACAGTCACATCTGTCACTGTCGTGCCTGCTGTAGTTACTGGATCTCCCGCTAGTTCTTCCAAGACCTCTACTGGAAGTGCATCATTGCAAACCAACAGTGCTGGAAAGAATAACTTGGGAATCAACATGATTCTCGGTGCCGTCGGAATGGTGGTTGTTGGTGCATTATAAGCCAAGTAGTTGGGACGAATACAAGAAATCGAACCAGAACTCTTTTGATATTTACACATTTGCATAGCGTCGGTGTCGGGTTTTTACGGTCACAAGTTTTATTTAACTATCAGTCTCTCATTCTTACGATCGATCGTAATGACTTGACACGAATTTATCATCACTCTTTTAGAAACGGACTTTGGATTGGCGCATAGATTGGAATAGCCCATCACGGGATATGTGCTTTGCTTCGCATAATTGCTGGGAGAAATTGGTTAAGGATCAAATATGGTTGTTATACATTGCATGAGGAAGTCGTGGGGATATCTATTGATAGTAAGGGTGGACGAAATGCATTATGGTTAATACGGTGGAAGTGGTGAAATAACGTGATAGGGGCTTGTGGAAAAATATGAAAATACACACAATTACAAACATATCACTGGTGCTTTCTTGTGTTTGAGAATTGGTTGTTAAATGTGAAGAAGTAAAAGGGTAGTCGTGAACCTCTATGTTTTCTCTTGCTCGGAGACTTTTAGATTGTTCGTTGCGGCATTTCTCCTAATTCTACAGAAGTTCGGAGTTATTTGATAGTTTCGGTATTTTGGTTTCGTCTTCATTGCTCATCTTGATTCTCCTTCATGGGAAGTCAATTTCTAGGACCCTAAGCCTTCCTTTGGTAAAAATGCTTCACTGGGGAATGTTTCCCGTCTCACTAGTGCTATGGCTGATATGGTCACAAGGGCGACTTGATCGTGCAGTGAAAATTGAAGCAGATCTCCTCGTAACGGAATCGTTCTAGCTTGTAGAAATTTTGAAAGAATCTGATTTATCATGGTATGTATTTATGATCTCTCATTAATTGGAGTATATGCGTATCTCGCTCTCTCGTGCGGTCCATCTATCATTTCTGGTTGTGCCATGTGATCGATTATTGGAACAATATATTGAACATTGGAATTGGATTCGTGGGTCCAGAAAATGAGGTAGGTTGGTTGGTTGGTTTGCATCTGATTCCGTTTTCGATGTGATGTTTGCGAGTTTGGAGGGAGATTAAAATGTAATAATGGCGAGAAATGTAAAGTCAAATAAAATCGTGTAGTCTCTGATAATGAGATCTCTCATGAAACTCCGTAAAACTCCAAAGATCTCCCCTTACTTCTTTCCTTTCTTCCTTCGCGATCCAAAATTCGCAAATGGTGTATGTATGTGTGTATGTTTTGAAGACAAAGAACGCATTATCCGGGTCCAATCTTAGGCATATCGTGATGTTCACTTAGGGTGCTGAGATATCTGTTTAGTTCTTCGACGCGCTCTTTGTGGGTTTTGACGCCTTCGCGCTTGAGGCGGTCGTTGAGCTGTGGGGAGGGGGATTAGTGTATTGCTTGAAGGAGGGGGGTTTGAGGGAGGCTCAATGGAATTGGGAGATGGGAGAATAGAGATGGTGATGTGAATGTGAATGCGAATGTGAATGTGAATGAAAAGTAGAAATGTGTAAAAATAAGTAATAACATACCCTCCTCCTCCTCATCTCCTCATGCGCGCGCTCCGATGCGGTTTTCCCAGATGCGTCGCGGGGATCAAGAGATTTCAATTGTTCTTCGCTCATTTCTGTTTCTTCGGAAGTGGGCTTCGCAGCATCTTCGTCTTGTAAGGCTTTTTGGAGTGTGGTAGTGGTGGATGAAGATGGAGATGTTGAAGTCGTCGGGGGAGCGACCTTCTTCTTCTTTTTCTTTTTGGTAATGCCGGCGCCGGTGGAGGCGCCTTTGAGTTTTAAGCCCCCGCCGGTGAAGGAGTAGTCGTCGGGCATGTTGTGTTTGGGGATGTGGGGAGTTGTGGTTGGAGAGGAGATGGAGAGCTGGAGATGGATTTGATGGGACGCGGAATTATGGGTCGACGGATTAATTTTAATCCGGTTGCGGGGCTTGTGCGTGAGTGGCTGTGCTGTAACAACGTCACGCATGAAAGTTCGTTGAGGTCTGTTGTGTTAGATAGATACTCATAGATATTTCCAAATATTATAAGATGATTCTGTTACATTTATATTTGTATTTTTCTTGCTTTCGTCGATCAGTTGTAGGATACTATGCAAATGTTTTGCAAATTAAACCTAGTGATATCAATTAGCTCCCCAGAGCTGTTCTTCTCAATTTTCTGTTTTAGACAATCCCCCTTCGAAATCTTACAAGATGCCAGAATTAAAGATTGAAAGCTCGCCAACGACAATCTCTCGTTCTAGCTTCCTAAATTTTGCCTTCGTTATTGGGATCTATTCTCAGAGGAGTTGCTGTTGAAGTCTGACTACATCTCTTTACATTTGGATGTGCTTGTTACTAGATAGAGAAAAGGTATTTCAATTTGCACAGCAATTGCTTTCCTGTTCAAAGCATGATCATATCACACTTCATATTTCTTTTTTCCCGTGTGCGGTTGGTATTTGCCCTATTCATACCTTTTTTTGAAGTGAGGTCAGGAGTAAGCACCAAGGACAATTGTCTTCAAATACCTCTATGGTTCTTCATGATTGTTCAGAAGATCAGAATTATCATTGATACTCCTGTCCTCTACAGATCCCGTAGCTCCCAGAGCTCTTTCTCTATATATTGAGTCATATAAGACTCACAAGAAGGGAACTATCAGTATCTACAGATTTACTGATTAAGGCTTGAGTGTTTGCTTTTCAATCACCATATTCATTGAGTAATTATTTGACACCAAGCGAAAAGAGTGATGTAACTCCCCGAGCACGGTGTGATAGTGAGTGACTAAAGCTATTGACTACCTGTTAATTGCAATAAAGCCTGTGAAGTATAGCTGTGTATATGATGCAAAGTTGAAATCAGAGCAAAACTGCAATCGCATCATCATCATTAGCGAACTCTCATCATTGTCATTAATCTTTAGTGATCGCTTCCTTCTTAGTCTTATACTCTTTGTATGTTTATTCTGTGATCAAGTTCTACTGAAGGTTAGATTTCAAGCATAGGATCACTTGTTCATCACGTACGTACAGTAGACTATCCCCCTTTTGTGTCTTGGTAATGGGGATATACAAGACTCAGGAGTTCTCTCAGTGGTGCAATCTTTATTATTTCTATTAGTCTTAGTAGTCAAACAGAACTCCAACCTTTCATACACACACTCTATGCAAAGGTTTGTTATTCGGTTACCTAACCTACGAATAGACCACAAAACTTCTCCCATGGACATCATGACTTCACTCTAAGAGGTAGCCTAGTCACTCTCTATAATCTGTTTCCATATAACAGTAGTTTGAAGTAACCCGGAAGTGCTTCCTCCCTCCATTCAAAACAGCAGTCCGCTTCTAGATAATCAATAAAATCCATCAAAAGACTTACCAGATTCACCAAGTCTCTCGGTCTGGATTCATCTTTACTGGTCTGCTCTAAGGTGTGATAAACTCCGGAATAATGAAATTCACCAATAGAAATAGAAGAAGTGGTATGACTACATAGCTCAAGCAAGGACAACAAACAACTAAATTGTCAAACTGTCAGAGTATTCAAACAAGTCAAATGTAACTTTCTGATCAGAAGTAACCTGAGTAGCAATCCTCAGCAACCGATCACATAAAATACCAAAATCAGTCTACCTCCTTTCCAAATCTTACAAAAGCAAAAAGCCAACTCATCTAGTATCGACAGCCCTCATATTTCAAATCGAGTCACCATCAACTCTGGAGATCAGGTTTGCATCACCCCCACAATCCATCTATTAGTGTGACCGCTCTTCTCAGCAGCTCAGCATGGAAGATCGCACCGATGCACCCAAATATCTGGATGCCGAAAGACCTCCTCTATCGCCCCTTAGTAATCTCAAAGCGATCGACTCATCCGACAACATTCTTTCACCAATATCCAATATCCTAAACAATGGAAATGTGCAGCAAACTCCCCTTGTCTCATCTTGTACTTTTAATACTGGAAGCGAGCTATCAAATACCACAGAAAACATCATAAATTCCGCGGGAGAACCCTCACCTCCTCGTCTCAAAAAAGAATTCCACCCACTCGAGAAAAACAAAAATATATCATCCAATCCACCTCCACCACCTCCACCATCTCTAAACTTCCCTCCCCACAATCCCAATTCCACAGCTCCAAGCCCCGCAGAACTAAACTCTGACTCTGTGTCTCAAACCCCTAGCGAACATAGTTCCGGCTCAGACGCGGCTTTTTACTGTAGTGTAGGGTCTCCTAGCGAGGATGAAGAAGATGGATTGAGTAATTCTTTGGATTTGAGGGCGGAGCAGGAGGGAGAAGGAGAGTCTGAGATAACGAAAAGAACTTTACGGGAAGCTGTGTCTACGTCTGGGACTGATGGTGGGGGTACGAGAGTAGATGATGAAGAAAATGATGAAGAAAATGATGAAGAGGAGGAGGAAGAGGAAAATGAGATCCATAAAAAGAATAGTAAAAGGAGGAAATCGAAGAAAAGATTCACATTTTTGAAGCGAATCTTTCGTCGGAAGAAAGCGAGGGATAGTGATGAAGGTGCTGCTGGGAATAGTTGAGTATGCGTACGGGTATGTGTATAAATAGATAGATAGATGGAAAATCGAGATTTTTCTTTCAGAAAACCGGCAAGAAAATTGTGGCTTGCATGATTGCCTTTTATCAGCAAAATTATTCTGCCTCCTAGATTCCTTCATCGATGACTTCAAGGCGTGTAGTGTAGTATTCCGTGATTGAAGAGAGGGTTTATGCTACAGTTGACAGTATAGGAATTGGAAGAGATCAATCTGGGCGTACAGTGTTAACCTAATAACTATGTAACCAAAAACATGGATTTCTGAAATATTGTGACATATTGAGATGGATATAGTCCACGCACTTTAATTATTTGAACTCTGTAGTGGATTGAATGAGTTTACTTTATGTGAAGATTGATATTCATGCATTTGCAATAACTTTAGCATCAACTGAAAGATACCTTTTCCATTATATAACAAAGGAAGGTAGGTACGTAAACCCATCTCATGATTTTAATAACAACTATCCAAAACTGTACGATTCAATCACATACCATCCACCTCTAGCTCTAAATAAAACAACATACAGCCAAGTTAGCTTCCTATCATATCGATAATCTCTTCAAATCATAACCTCTCTTCAAATTTTAATAACATTACAGTGTTTCGAAACATCCTCACTCATATGAAAAACAAAGATGGATGTACTCATCCATATGTGCATTAACCGAACCTTCTACATCTGTTCACCTAGGTATCAAAATACTACCTACAATAATTCTCCTCCTCCTCCTCCTCCTAGTCCCTAGGTACTAAAGAACATAATATTTTAGAAGTAAAAATCTTATTGATAGGTCCACGGGTAGGTATATAAATTCCATTGCGGAGTTCAACTATCTACCTACCTACCTCCTACTTAGATACTTATATAATTGAATATTTCGGTACTCATCTAAATCTAAATCCAAATCCAAATCCAAATCTAAATCTCCATCCCCAAGAAGAAAACAAAATACCAATTTCCACGAACTAATCAATACCCACCCACCTACCCACCAGCCCAACAACTCAATACCTACACATCCCCCAAAAACATATCTTCCATTCCTCTCAAAATTCATCTACACGCATGTCATTGTAAATATCTAGAATATATGAATATCTCTCTAAACGAATATCAGAAAACTCAACTTATCGATATACTTACTATAATCAGTCTCTTTATAAAGAGACATACAAATAAACAAATAGGTACCCAGTCCATAAAATTCTGGCTGGAGAAGTTGAGATGAGATGAGATGAGATAAGATGAGATAATAAGCTCACGATCAAACCCATTTCCATCTAATCCAATACCTACCTACCTAATTCTCATGCTGATTCGCAAGCACGGGTAAGATTTATCCATAAGACTCATCCATCCATCCATCCCATTTATAATATATAACTTAACAGATAACATTCCATCAACATCTAGTATCTAGTATCTAGTATCTAGTATCTAGTATCTAGTATCTAATATCTAATATCTAATATCTAATATCTAGTATCTAATATCTAATATCTAGTATCTAATATCTAGTATCTAGTATCTAATATCTAGTATCTAATATCTAATATCTAGTATTTAGTATTTAGTATCTAGTATTTAATATCTAATATCTAGTATCTAATATCTAATATCTAATATCTAATATCTAATATCTAATATCTAATATCTAATATCTAATATCTAATATCTAATATCTAATATCTAATATCTAATATCTAGTATTTAATATCTAGTATTTAGGGTTCGTTCGGATCGATTTTTTATTTTATTGGTGAAATCTCTAATAATAATAAAATGGCAAGGGGTTTGAAATATTGAAGCTAATATATTTGGGGTAATATTGGGACGTGCGAGGTTGAATTGAAAATGAAGAAATTGTATTGAAAATAAAGAAGATAACGCTTTTTCTCAAATATATTTGTTCAACTAGATCTCAAAAGCTGCTATTGGTTATTGTATGAGAAAAGTTGAGAAAATTTGTTGCATTTGTCACTTTAAGATTATTTGACTCAATATTTTATTAGCTCAAATATTGCGTTCGTTTCAAAATATTTTGAAATATTTCAGCCACACATTAGATCTAATATAGTCTAATATATATTGAGCTCAATATTGCGTTCGGTAAACACTATATTGGGCTAATATATTGGTCTAATGTCCAAAAACAGATTGATCCGAACGGGCCCTTAATATTTAGTATCCAATATCCAATATCCAATATCCAACATCCAACCAACAACCCACTCCATCATAAGATTCCATTCCATATCCAGAACCCAGTTCCGCTCTACCCTAGAGACCAACATCTTCTAGATCTATAATTAACTAGTTGAAACCCTCATAACATCGAGAGGACCACCTTATGAGTATGATATGATGCAGCTCTTGTAACAGGATAGTTGATGTTTGATTCTAGTATCGACTCTGTACTTCCTTTACTACATATGCAGCATATGTAGCATAGGAGTTGAGATATTCATGGCTAAGGTTTGTGAAGAGAGGCTAGTAGGTAATAATTTTCATTATTTCTTTCTGCATGAGAATATTGGATATCTGCTTGAGTTTCTAGGATTGAAGGTGAAGTTTAGCGGTATTGAGCATACTTGATTTTTATTGGATTCTTTTGATTTCTGCTCCAAATACAGTATTCCCAGATTGCGACGAAGCTGCACTCCATAGAGAGAGATGCTACGGAACGAGCAGCTTATGCCTCCTCACAATCACATCCAAAATACATGTATGTAACCGCGACAAACAAGCGGAAGTTGAGATACTCGGATAAATTTTATTTCTCCCTCTCAATAATGTTGCGAAGAATCCGTGGCAATGTCATCTTCATGGTATATAACGTAAATAATCATGCCATCTAGTGTCTCATAACATCTTCTCAAATTTACCATTCAACACATGGAAAAAGTTGGGGCTGGATGTAATCTGTTTCTTTGGATGAATCTCATGTCCCTCTTGATACGGTGGCATGAGTACAGATAAACTGGCACTAAGTAGGGCTTGAATCCTGCCTTCCGCCGCAACCTGTGATGTAGCTGTGATTCTATAAACGCAAAACGATCATTTCCCGTATCAGATTCCCTCTCATCAAGTCTTAACTTTTCAAATCCAATTTCTCTAGAACATGTGAAGAATTTCATTATTTCAGAAACCTTTAGGAGAAAGCAGGTGAAGGAATTGAGAAAGATACCCAATGAGGGAACATCGACAACTTTTAAAATCTAAAATACTTCATGTAAAAATATTACGCACACCGGGTTTGCTTGGAAAAATGTGTGAACCCACGAGGAAACTTTATTCACACGAACAAAAGGGCTATTGGGGTACAGAAGTGAAAGAAAGAAGGCTTTTGGCTTAACGTCTATGTAATAAACTGCTCGGGACGATTTTTTCTCGTGACGGTATAAAATTCGGTGTTTGATTAATGAATCATTATCAATGGGAGGTTGGCCATTGACTCAATTGACCGAACTACGATGAATTGAGTGTGGAATATATGGACTAGCAAGTAGTATGTTGATTTGACACCACTAGTTTGTCGGAAGTGCCAAATGTGTCACTTGTCATCGCTGATTCGACAAAACGACAAAAGATACTGTATTTTAGGTTACTATTCATAAAGTCCATGGCGTGGAATATACCATGAATTCAACTGTGAACAGCATTCCAAGCAGACAGAGTATCAGCCCAAATCTCCCAATGACCAATCTTGCCCTCCTCATCAAATTCACTCAATCGATATATAAATTGTTCATCCCAACTCTTTCCCGTCTCCAAACTTTTGAAAGTGGCACTTCCGACAACACTAACGACACCTTTCTTCCCCTGAAGCTCACACGTCTCATCGACAATGAAAGACTGCGGTGAGGGAAATGTAGATGGTGAGGGTTGAAACTCAAGGGTTCGAGATAGGATGTTGAAGTAATCGTCGCATGTTTGATTATCAGAAGAGTCGCATTTACGACCCGAGAATGTTTTACCTAGAAATGGAAGTTCTGAATTCTCAGGACCATGTTCTGTGATTCGAGGTGATGAAGAGAAGTGCGAAGACAGGATAATGTCAGGCGAGATTCCGTCGACGAATGCCTGACAGAATGCAACGGCTTCTGTTCTCAATTCCTCCCTGCTAAGAGACATACTATTCAATTCTAGGTGTTATAATTTATGGACGATCAGATTGACCGATTGACCGTTTTGGTTGGGATTCTAGAAATCGGATGGTGGTTGCGGTGAAGCTACTCGATTGCGTGTCGTCTAGGTAGTCTCGTAGTTCAACGCAGGTAGCCTTGAAATGTAATTTGATGCAGTTAGTACGAGCAGACCCCTTGTTGAAATGAAGCGGTTGCAGCATTGGTGAGCATAATACTGGGATTTCCCCGCTCTAGGTCGATGACAACTATCCAAATACGAATGCCGAGGTAACATTCGCCACAGTGAAATGATGGGAAGCTAGCCGATCATTGTAAATGCGATGTCGCGCAATTGCTCCCAACGTTGATCAATCGTACAAGAAAGATGTCGAGTTTAGGTTTTCTCTGTTGTTGAACATACGAAGGTAGGAGGTTCCGGCAGTTGATCGACAAGTTTCGTTGAGTAAGGAGGATGAAATTAGTGCCACGTATATCTTTAGAAATGATGGATGAACCGTGACAGGATTATTGGCATACCAAATACGTGCTAGATGGAGGTAACTGGCAAGACTCAGGATCTTCTACGATAGATCATCCTAGTATTGAAGTTCTGACTAGGAGAAGGGTAGATTGGTAGACATTTCACATTATCATCATCAAGTATGACAGTATCGCAATGCCTTTGCAATGTATATGAATTTTCAGGAAAGTTTCCAGGAGAATCGTTGCTGTTTCTTAAGCGACAAGCAATTTGACATCAAAATCAATTTACACATCAACTTTCATGACCCCCAGGATTGTCTTGTAGATTTCGGAGATGTGAACGTAAAGCACTAGAAGGTTTAGAAGGTTGGAAGCATTAATTAGTATTCACTATCTTTTTTGGAAGGCTCATACTGGTAGTTGATGACAAGTACCGGTACTTGTTGGTACTCTGAGGGTGTGAAATTAGAACAGTCAACGAGGTGTAATTCGGGCAACAAGGTGTGTTTGTAGTAAGAAAGTCATCAAGTATATCATCACTCATTACAGTCCTTCCTTCGTGAAGCACTAGAAACATCATTTGTCTCCTTTTCCCTTCTAGAAGGAAAACTGGAGCTCAGCATCGTACAATACCCTCAGGCCAAAAGGAAACTCCTTGCTCATCCTACTTGACGTTTAACATACGAGCATATTTCAAATCCCATCGTATACTTTGTATACTTTGTAATCTTACATTTGATCATTGACTTTGCCCAGTTGGGTTGTTATCAAGATATCAAAATATCAAAATCACGTCAACGTACCTCCAAAGTACCCAAGTACCCCTCAGCACCCCACGGGATTCTTCATGAAACTCAATTGCATGTCAAAAATAGTACGCCCCTGAATGCTTGGTGCTTGGTATCGCATTGTAGAAGGTGGTATGAATGGGATCTTACATCAACGGTCTCACAATTACTCGGATAGGAAATAGCAAAGTCAATCCTCATCTTGATTTTCCATGCATCTCGCCACTGTCTAAGATGTCCAGGTCGAGATTTACAACACATCATCCGAAGTTTTCTTATTTTACGCCCCGTCTCAGTGCAAATCAAGTATAAAATGACTATTAATACCTCTGACCTCTCGTATGGGCCCTTAATAAGGTTGTTATGCTTCAATATTAATATTTTACAAACAGGCAGTAATGCATTGATTGGGCTTTTTTTAACGCGTTTATGCCCAACCAGCCACTCGGTAAGAGAGTATATATCGATTATACGATTGATATCGAATCAGAGAAGGACCTTGGAATACACCACATTCCCTAGTACCGCAGCTACTCGCAATACCAATCAATAGCCATACCAATACAAGTGATGCAAATGACACGATGGATTCCATTGTTTCCATCCTCTCCCTTACCATTCGCCAACCTTGGGGGCCGAGAAAGCCTCATACGATCATACCATCGTTGATACTAGATAGACGCCCCGTCACCGCCCCGGAGATCTCTTCTTCTCCATACATACCAAGGGCTTTCCTTGTCCCATCTTCCACCCACTCTCCGAACTCCCCATACTTTTTATGCCATTCGAATTTCTATCTGCTTTTTTTTTGGCGCTTGCCACGCTTGAGATCGGTGGTTGGTGTCGGTATTGGCTCTCTTCCAGGTATACCTGTTACATACTCACAATTTTACTTTATGCTCTCGTCACACCTTGTTCGAGATCAAGAAAGGATATAAATTGCCCAATAATGCCTAATGCAGCCACAAAGTATTCCGTATACCGAACAGCACAGCGGACAACATCCCACTGGCTCCGAGGTCTGTCCTTGCCAATGTTCTCTGGCTGGTCGCATCGCATTTCGCGATAAGATTTCTAATGTAGCCTTTGCGGAAAGAGAATGAGCGACGTCGATCTTTGAGCACCGAGTAACTTTGTTTTGAAGGAGCATCCTTACCAGATTCTTGACAATGCACTTCTTGGGGGCCAAAAACACCAACCTTCCATCTGGAAACTGGCTTTCCTGGCAGACGAGAGACGCTCAACGCTTCTCAAAGATTCAAAGATTCGAAAATTCAAGATTATTGGGAGCACAAGAATCCCCCAATGCAGTTCAGATCATTGTTCATCCTAGGTCATAGCTTCCTGATTTCTACCAGGTATTTTTCTTGATTGCCCTATCAGTGCTTGGAGGGTCTCGGAGTTTCTTGAGGGACATGTCAAATCTTTACGGTAAAGCTTCGAGTGAGCTTCAGCTGTATAAACCATGAATTTTTGTCTATATAACAATCCAGTTCCCTCCTACCTCTTCTTCCATTTCCCCCATCAGATCAGATCAATTGATAGCATAAAAGCTTTGTTGTTTCAAAAATTACAAAACCCTTGGATCACCTGGCATACTCACCGCCCCTGTTCCTGGATCTGGATATCCTTGCTGGACCCATTAATTAAATCGTGGACAATCAATCTATCAATACCAATTTTGGAGCCATTTTGCATTTAATTGTCATCCGACAAAGAAGGACCTATCTCTAATTTCCATCTCATTTCTTTTTCATATAGTATCGTACAAGTATCAAGTTTCCTCTTGACTCGGGATTTGGACCTGGAATTAAAACTTGATATCTCAAAATGATGGCATCCAGAAGAAGTATTCACATCCAACCGGAATTTAGTTATGGACGTACGATTCCTACGAGTCTTCCGGATTCGTCGAGAAGGTATGCGACAAATTTGCAAACTTACATGATCGAGAGCTAACCAGCAAGGACCACATATTCCACCGGCAACCGCGCGAGTTTCGATGGTGGCTTTTATCCAAACCCCAGGTAAGAACGCATGTATCCCAAGTTCGGGACCAAGGAAGCTGAAAACCAACCTCAAAGCGCATCATATGCCCCGGATCTAAGTGGCTCGTCTTACAACCCTATCACTGCACCCATGACCTCGAGTCCTCTAGCCCGCCCGGACTCAATTTATGGATCGAATGCTTACAGCGTTGGTTCATCATCAAATGTATATGGAACTGCAGGACCAAGTTATGGTTCTTACACAAGCCAAGGTCCAAGTTGGGAGCCTCAAGGCAGAGTCTCGCCCGAGACGTATATGGACGATTATGCGGCATCTCCCAGCCCAACGGATTACACGCTAGACTCTGTCAATCGGTCGTCCGGAAAAGCAAGAAGTGATGGGAAAGGCCATTCTCAAAGACGACCATCTAATAGGGATGAATTTGATGGACCGCATCAATTCTTACAACGACCACCCCCGGAATACATTGCCCAGCAGGAGAGAGATTTGCCGCATCTTCCCACAAACCTTGTGGTACAGGAACAGGATAGTGTCCTAAATAGAGTCAATGACCGGTTGTCACAGTGTGCTTTTGACTTTGTGGCCAAGTACCAGTTTCCTATTCCTCTAAGTGACAGCTGTCGACCTGTGGAACGACCCCAAGATCGTGAATGGACGGAGTGGGTGTACCTTCTCAAACGTCTCGCAACCAAGAGGCGCATACCCGCCCGGGTATTATATAATGGCCAGATAAAGCAATTTGTTACCATCTTGGAAAATAGCCTGGAAATGAGACATGCTGCAAAGCATCAATCACGCCCATTGAAGGATGATAGGAATATCCTCCAGCTAATTTCAGCCGGGATTCAGGTAGCTAAAATTTTGAAGGACGCGGAAGCTATGTCTTACCTAGACCGATTATACGTTACGACAGAACAGCAGATTCAGGAAAGGAGTGCAAGCCGCTTTCGTCCTTGATTTCATACCAGAGGGGTTTTGCCTCGGCTAATGACTTGACGACTTTTATGTTGTATGTTACCCACATTTAGGCGTTGGCTGGCTATCTTTAGGCAAAATTTTAGGTGGATGGACGGATCCATTCCTGCTCTGACACAGCCTTGCTATGATTATTACGGGCGTTTTTTGTCTATTTTTGTATGTTATTATTTTGTGCTTGGAGCCTGATGGACGGGCGTGCGATACGGAATGGATATCACGATAATAGGATAAATGCACCTGACGAAATATCACCACGCCCGAGACATTGAGAACCCGCCATCCATGAGCCCCGTGATGTGGGAATCTTTCAAATCGGGAATCTTCGATGATACGCGCTGAATAATGGAAATCTCGGTGGGTTCGCATCGCAAGGAAACAGAATATAGAATTACTTACTTACTTCGGGCCGTGGCTGATATGTTTCTTTGGGGGAGGATTTATGATGAATGGAATGGATCAATGAATGAATGATAGATGGATGGATGGAACGGAAACTCATATTTGGGAGTGGCAGGAATATCACATCACATCACATGACATCACATCCTTGGAATTGTATATTCGCATGTACATGCATAGTCTATAAGCACTACACTACGAAAGCAAGCGAAACCGGGCGTTTTTTGGGGGGGTTTTGTGGAAAAATTTACTCCGAGGGGATGAGATGGGGCTTGGTTAGCTAGCTATCTTGTTGGGTTGTTATACGTTATACGTTGTTTGTTGCTTGCTTGCTTGCTTGCTTACTGTATGTATTTATCTATGCATGTATGCATGTATGTATTTATTGTATTTATTGTATTATCATATTGTTTTCGTGGTATTGTTGTTGTTGTTGTTTGGTGCGGAGAATGAGATGGAGGGAGTGGGGAGTAAAGAGGAGAGAGGAGAGAGGAGCGCGTGCGCGCTCTTGCGGGATGGAGAATGGGAATTGTAATCTTATTTTGTGTATTTTACCTATTTGGATTATTCGAACTTTGATTGTGGTGAACGTTTTTAATGTATTTGATATATTTGATGTGATGGATGTGATTGATGTGATTTATGTGATGTGATTGGGTTGGGAAGAGGTATGAGGTAAGATGGGATGAGCTACCTAGATGTATGTGGAGTTTGAACTTGGGGAGAGAGAGAGAGAGAGGGATAATTCGGAATTCTGTTAAGTAGAAAGTAGAAAAAAGAAAGTAGAAAGTATGGCGATCTTGAGTTGGGGGAGGGAGCAGGAGAGGAAAGGGTATTTGAAGTGTGAAATGTGAAGGAGAGGGGGTGTAAAGAGTAAAGATGGGTTTTTTGTAGATTGTTATATAATGCAGTAGTTTCAGGCATGCCGATGAATACATGAACAACTAACAAAGCAAACAAAGCACTTCTCAATTTTCAAAATTGATAGCAAATTGATTTCTCAATCGTTTGATATCATAATCTATAACTTTGTCATCAAATCTCAAATTATTTAAACTGCTATTCCAAGAGATATTGCTAAACTTAAGTCAGTGTTGATCATATCTCATCCGTTCGTGCACCCACGAGTGTACCAAAGACATGCACATTATTCTGTCCCGAATCTCCCACTGTGAAGTATAAATCACTCTTCAGAAATAATAAGATCCGCAGCTTTTTCGGCGATTCCGTAAACGGGCATTTGGGGATGTCCTCCGATGAGAGAGGGCATCACACTTGCATCTGCGACGCGAAGACCGGTGATCCCGCGCACTTTGAGATTTTCGTCAAGTACAGCTAGAGCATCGTCGGGTCTTCCCATCTTGCATGTTCCGGCTGGATGATAGCCTAGGAATGGGAGGAGTGTCAGCTGGTTGAGAATATGTGTGATGCAGATGAGACAGAGGACAGAGGGATGTTCAAACGAGACAGTGACTTCTGGGAAAGAGGAGACTTATATGTATCTGCATTGGATCTGATAATAGGTACCCATTCTTCTCGCGCAGTAAACGTGTGATGATTTCTAGAGCGTGGCCATGATCCAATCACAATATCCTTCGTCCCTGCCCCCTTCATTGCAATTTCATTCGCCATGCGACACCCTTCGCTGAATACGAGCATATCCAAGGGATCTTCGAGATACCGATGATTCACGATAGGGTTTTCCGTAGGGTCGCTTGACTTGAGACTGACTTCACCTCGCGATCGTGGCGCGAAGAATTCCGTAGCCATTGCAAACGCGTACTTGCCATCTGGGGGAAAGTCCCTGAACATGTATTTTGGACTATAGCATTCTGTGTTCCAGAATTCGACGTGGGGCTGGGTGGGTGAGAGACCCATTGGATCGAGACCTTTAACGCGGGAAGCGGAGTTCCAGAGGTGGGAATCTGAGAGTCTGGAGTCTAGACGAGCAAATGCAAAAGTTCCAAATGGGAATTGAGAGAAAAATCCGGTTTTGTCGGTTTTATACTGAGCTAACGATTTGTCTTTTCCACCGGGGTGCCAAACAAGATGGTCATTGGTGAGAGCTGGCTTGGAGACTTCATAGAATGAAAGGACAACCTAGTCTTGAATTAGACACAAAGCAAGTCTTGCGAGGAAAGAAAATGTATCCCGAGTTTTTCATAAGTGAATGTGGCTGGACATATCGAATGATCAGAAAAGTATGCTTACCAAATGATCCATCAGATTCTTTCCAACACCTGGGAGATCAACTTGGCTTTGGATTCCAAGCTTTTCAACTTCTTGTTTGGCGCCGATTCCAGATCGGAGGAGGATTGCTGGACTTCCATATGTTCCTGCTGAGATGATAACTTCTTTGCGAGCTTTTACGAAAGATTTCTGACCAGTGGTATCTTGCAGGAAGACACCCTTAGCTCGTAGCGCACCAGCTTTATCCTTTTCAAGGCTAATGCGATCAATACATGTGTTTGTTCTTATTGATATACCTGAATTTTCCGTGGAACTTGTGATGTAATCTGTAGACATAGTACGAGTGCCTTGGGAGACTGTTCGAACAGCGTGTCCGCAGCCATGTGCACTTTTGCCGGTACTAAACATATCTGGGATCAAGGGTAGTCCCATTGATTGATATGATTCAAGCACAAGACTTGAAATCGGTGCTGGATCATGGGGAGATGTGATAACAGGACCATTATATCCATGTGCATCTTTCTCGGCATCGAACCATGGCTTGTTATGGAATGCTTCAGCCTAGGGGCATGTTAATGATATTTAGTCATGACGGCCCGTTTTGGGACGATGTGAAAGGCGGGCCAATCAACGTAAATGAACTTCTCAATTAGATATAAATAAACTACAATGAATGATAGATAATTTCGTACCTTTGACATGTATTTAAACATCTCATCTCCACTCCACCCTTCAAGACCCCAATTATCGAAATCTTGTCGATTCCCACGAATAGCCAATGTTCCATTACAACCGCTGCTTCCACCAAGAAACCTTTACTTCAAAGTTAGATCTCACAAGCCAAAATTAGAACTTTCAAAAAACCCACTTTCCCCTCGCAAGATGCAACCGACGATTTTCGAGCTCTTCACAAGGCTCGCTCTTGATGTTCCAGTCGGCTTCAGTTCCAAGTATCTGTGAAACTCTGGGATAATCAGATTATGTCACATGTGAAATATCAGAGACTTTTTTGAAACTTTGTTCTTACGCAGCAGGGATTGCAGTAGCGGGATATGTGTCATTGCTAGCCCCGGCTTCAACAATAAGAATGGATACAGTAGAATTGTCTGCAAGTCGAGCTGCGATTGCACAGCTTGAGGTTCCGCCACTGGACGAACAGTTAGCTAGATGTTTACAACATTTCAGAAGGGGAGGGGGAAAGTCAAACCCGCAAATGATGTAATCATAAATCTCTTCGATGCCGACACTATCTTGATGCGCCATTTTGTGTTTGGGGTCTTTGGAGTGTTCGGGTAAAGAAGGGAAACAGCAGAGAGGGAGGTAATAGCTTTGAGATCGAAGATTATGATGGGGTTTGAATGTAATATGTTGTATTGATAAGCTTTGAACGGAACGACATGACACAAAATTGCAGCTGTGGGATACAACACCCAAGGAAGCTAACAACCGTTGGCTTATGTCACCACTGTGGGTTTCGTATTCCAAGTGCCTGCAGCTGTGCCGGTTTTTCACATTAACAGAACTCGGAACTCGGGAGATACGTCAACTTCATCATGTATTGTAGCTTCCATTCTTGTAATGATGTCGTTTTTTCACCCTTCTACCTGGGTAGCAATTGTCAAGACGTGGTGCTATGTAACTACAATATACTCGTTGGAGTATTGAAATATAATTTTGTAGAGTTGTGATGTCTAGAATTGAAGGACGCTGGGTTTCTCCTGTGCCGCATGCTTACCAAACTAACCCCACATATAGATATGCAAAGCTGATTCGTTCAACTATGGGCGCTCGCCGTTTGGTCTTGCCTTAATTCTGTATACCGCTCAGGAAAGCAGTAATATCTTGCGTGAAATCAATGTTTCCCATACCAAGCTGTTTCTTTAAATAGGGAGTAGAAGCAGGCATCTTAAAGAGCAAGCTGGAAGAACTTATTCCAACGTAACATATACACATGTCTAGATTTCTCACTGAGACTACCAAATATAGTTCAGTATAGAGAGGGGGACTTTGAATAACCATGCTCCGAGATGAAATTTTGAACACCCTCTATAAATATGTCAATGTCACTTTTAGAAGTGAAATTGGGCACAACAAGCAGTGCATAAGCAGTGCATTTCTCCAACTCGGTAGATTTAATTTGCTCAGGCTAGTAATTATAGCACAGTACTCCCGATTCTGTATCAAGGACGTCCTTGACTTCAATATCGGCAATCAGCTTTCCCATAAGTAGAAGATCTTGGACTGAGGCCTGCTCAGGCGATTTAAACGCTGTAACGCCTCGGTATTGATATAAGCGGTTTTGTATATCTTTCTGCTGCCACAACCACCAAAGTCGATCAAGCTGCGTATGATGAAGAAAGAAAACGGGATCTGACCAGAGATGAGTAAGTGTGTTAATTCAATAAGAGTTTCAAGGCAGAAAGGTCACTCACCATATGGAGCAGTAAACATTGAGAAGTCCCCTCGAATCATATGAGGAATTGAAGCATGTGCAGCATCTTCAAGACCCAGATTAAATTCCTCGTAGTCGTCTGTATCCATCAATTGATCGAGCATGTAAGGTTGAAGTTTCAATGATTCTGAACTATCGGTTGTGTTGAACGAGCGCGATAAGCAGTGCCGGGAGTGTTTAGAGCTGATGAATGGGACGGATAGTAGAGCAAAAGGACCATCAACAACACACTGCCCGATTCCACGTGAGTCAATACCTTCTGAGTTTGGATTTCCGTTGCCGCCAAAGCCCAGTTCGTTATCCCATACAGGGGAGTGGGCTATATTTTCCCAATCAAGGGACCAATCCCAATAGCTGTAGCACAAATAAATATCAATGTTCCTTTGCTTTTAGAGAAACTTGGATTGGTGCTAGTATACATACCTTAGGTAACCCGTGTAGTGGCAGTCTTCTCTCAAAGCTCTTTCATAGCTATGCAAAAAGTATCTGTGCCACGCAACAAAAGCAGCGGCGTTGTGGGCTCCAGAAACCATCAGCGATTTTGTTCTTGGTCCAATTGAAGCAAAATACAATTAACACTCACAGTAGTTTCCAATGTTTGTATGAACCCAAGGAAAATCATCGTATAATGAATAACCTGAATGCAATCTCGACAGTGTCTCTCTTAGGCATTGGACAGCATCCAGATAATTTACTTTCTCTGCTGCACTGAACGACCGCCACTCTCTGCGCGTCGAGGGATTGCTACAACGCTCTCTGTTCTGATAAGGATCTAGAGCTTGGTGTCGAAGGAAGTGATTCTCAAAAATGACACCACTGAAAAAAGCTATCCCCAGAACCAAAGCCCCAAGAACTACCGCGCAAAGTAATTTTGGCGGTTGAAGTGGTCGGCCTTGTAGAGCCCTCTCATTTTTCTCCTCCGACTCGATATCAGAGAGGACCGGCGAATACCGATTTTGTCGAAAGGGATTCAACATATTTGGATTTGAATGTTGAGATGTGGCAGTGCTTGGGGTAACGTACGGGACTGGATCGATGAACGATTCAGATGCTGGTGCTCAATCTCCCGCAAGATTCTAAAGCTTTCGTGTCCTGAGAATCCACTGAAATCTATGCTGGAGTGCGAAAGAACTTCCCCAATATGATGTAATTGATCGACCTTTCTCGGGCATAGAGCAATTTGTGTCATTGTGATGGAATTAAATTCAATAGTCGCTACATAAAACAGCGTACGTATGTTAACGTTTCAGCTTGCTGTTCTTTTTTGTTACTTTTAGTGAGTTACTAATGTGTCGATCGAAAAACTTTACCTACCTTTTTCGCCTATGTCATTCTTTAGTCGCACTTGTCTTCGAATGACAGATCATCACATGCATCGAATCATAAATTGTAGTCCCTATATTTCAATTACCTTGCATGCGTCATTGCTGCAACTAGAAGTAGTCACAAAGTTGATACCCTTTCGGGATGACCAACTGCAAACTTCCCCCCTTTTCATGATAAAAATAGTCTTCTTATGATTATCTGCAATCGCAATCTGCACACAGTGGGCCCGTTCTTCTGGAGATGATTGTACGAAATACATTCTTGAGCGCATATATTGAGTCTTGGCAACCTCCCAGGGACGTAGGGACTACCCGAGACTACCTACATATTGAGTAGCAGTGAATTCGGGATTCTGGGGGAAATGAAACATTATGATAAGCGCTATGTGGGCTAGACTTATCCCATATCATTATCCGCAAGACAAGCGTGCGTAGACAACTCAGCATGATACCGTGTCTCCCTACGATCCGTGATCGGGATCGGGACTGCAATCTAAATCGGGATCTGGGAATGCAATTATTTCTCTCTAGCGAACAACGGTAGACACTCTTATCTGTCGAAAAGAAAAGATGCACCTCAAGGCTTTGCTTTATTTTCTGGTAGAAGAGATCGACCACGGTCTCGGCATCGTAAGACATAAACATCGAGACATTGACTGTTGTATTGCATGTGTGCCAATACGTAAGCCCTCGCAGAATGCTTGAATTTGAGGATCCAAGTTTTCCCACAATGTTTGAACAGAGGCGAATTGATTTGTTGTATGATAAACAGAAAAATATGCTGACTATCAGCATGCTGTCTTGCAGAGACGCGGCATGGAAAGACTTCTACAATTGATCGGCAAATTTACACCGCCCAATTTATCATAAGTAGAGCTCTCTTCAAGCTGAAAACGATTTGATAGCACTTTTCATTCAAGACAAATTCGTTGATATAAATTGACAAACGGCACAACTTCCAAAATTCACTATTTCACTCGAACACTCCAATTGGATTCCAAACTTATTTTAAAACTTTCCATATTTCCCCAACCAAGTCGACCACTATTCACTATGCATTACTCGAAGCTGATCATTGTCGCCTTCGTTGGCTATGCCTCAGGACGTGCGATTTGTAAGTATATATCAATCACTCTTGAACTTTGAACATACTCTGAAACTCAGAATAGTACTCGAGGATCCTTCCTCTCCCTCTAAGAGAGGAGAAGATATTGTAGACTACAAGAGAGGCGAGAATATTGTAGACTACAAGAGGGGTGAGGATATTGTAGACTACAAGAGGGGCGAGGACCTTCTAGACTACAAGCGGGACGAAGATATTACAGCAGAAAAGACATATGATGGAGACTACAAGCGGGACGAAGATATTACCAAGAGGGTAGAAGGTATTACAGCAGAAAAGAGAGATGATGAAGACTACCGGCCATCTGTTGATGTTACTGAGTTCCTTTGAAGGGATGGAATTGATCGGGATGAGCAAAGTACAAGTGAGAAGGAGATTAAAAGTGTCCGATGTTATATATAGCACTGGATGTTTCGGGTTAGAGATTTACTTCTCAAGCCCATGAATTCCCGAGCAGTGTATTCATACTCTTATAAAACCTTTCGCGACTTTATTTTATGTCTTTTGAATGTGAACGTGTGTTTGTTCGTGCATTCAATTAGCCGGGATCCATGTGCACTAGCCCATTCTCAGACCGAAAGCACGCTATCCGATCTCACTACAGTGTAGTTGTATCAGATTGTCAGATGGTTCTTCTGGATCTGCTGTGCTTCTTCGCCGCAATACTCGTAGACTTGGTATGAGTTGCAATAATCCCTTTGATACACGAATGTGGCATCGACGGAGGTAAATGTTAGCACACCGCCTTTGATCTACCACTAAGTAAATCATCCTGTGCACATAGATCAACACTTGACATCTGCGCCCGCTTTTTATAGGCAGCTTCCCCATATTATGACTTGAGGATTGCTCACTTAGTCGTGAAGTCTTAGTTCAATGCATGTAATTGAGATAAAAAATGACGAGTGAAGTGACAAGTGACAAGTTGAACTGAAGCTCTCGAAATCGCGTAGCGCGTGGCGCGTAACTTGTTGTGGGGTCCACGGGTATGCCAAAGGCCGTGGTGGGCCAATCAATGTTGCTTACATACACCAGGGAAAATTTATTTGCCCTTGAGTTTCGAGGTTGAGATATATACTCCATAGGTATATACTATACATACCTACCTACCTACATAGCGTCCAAGATGCTTACAACATCTTTGGATACCAGCAGTCTGTTTCGGCCTCATATAATACTATAACTTTACATGCCAGGTACTGAAGCATCTGTTTCTAACCTTCTAATTTCAAAAAACTGTAACGATCCATGGCCTGCCAGCCGAACAGTCTACCCCATGCTTCGGAATAGATATTTGTGCCAGAAAGTTATCCGAGACTGAAACTACCATCAATATCACCGGAGACAAAGTTGTCTGAATGCTTCAGGAGTTCACTCTTGAGATCAGTCTGATAAGAATGCCTCGGGTGATGCTGGTTGCAAATTCAAGATTGACGGGTGTTTTCTTTCATGGCTGTCTTAATCAATCGTGTGTGGTTTGCAAAGTTACTTTAGCAGACAGAAAGGAGTAACGAGCTCAAGGAAGCTGTGTAATTGTCCATATACTCATATTTGGTACTGATCTATTAATTCATTAACCAGCGACTGATCGATTATTGAAGATCTCAAGCATATAAGATGATAGCAACGATTATTCAATCCCGTTTCAGGCTTGAATCAACCTTTTTACCCCATGCTTGGACATTAGTATCTCGTCGCCCCAAGACCTAGTTTGTAATGGCTATCATCAACCTCATCACAAACATGAATATTTTTAGCAGAATGCCGAGTTAAAAGTTTGGGTTGCAACAGTAGTTTACAGGTGTAAATAACTTCCTCGCGAAAATAGGACTGTCGTTTAAATTTTATAAAGTCTCTTTTTTGCTAGCAACCACCTGGCTTGCCCTAATAAAACTGTTACCTTGCAGATTTCTTTGCGATTTGAAGCGTACGTTTTTAATGGTTCGAATAATTGGATGAAGTTTTCCACATATATACACAATTAATTCCGTCAGTCACAGATCTCCTTGAACACATGTCCCGATTTTCAAATTCACTTCCTTCTGCAAGTCTTGCCTTTGATATCATTGAATGCATTCTTCTTATCTTAACAAGTCCCGAGAGCAGGTAATCAGAAGGTCCACGGGTCTATTCGATAGTTCTTGGCTCAAATCCAACACATGTGATCTCCAAGTGGATTCTCTAATGCTCTTCTTTCACCTTCAGTGGTTAGCTATATCAACAACAATAGCCAATGAGTATTGTTCACTCAACTTTTACCATTAATTGCATCGCATATGCCTAGGTTAAATCTTTCGGATATTACCTAGGTATCCAGAGAGATGATTTCTCTGTTGACTTTAAACTATTCAAATTGAGCTGATGAAACCGAATAAAAGATAATAACAATTCCCTTTCAACAGATGAATAATAAGACCCATTCACTTGAAATGAGATATTACTACGTGCTTGTGCTTAAGATAATTCACGCCATGAGGGAGAAGAATTTTGAGATGTTTTGAACTTCCAACAGATGAGATTAGGGATCTGGACATAATATTTCGCTTATGATTTTAAGATCCCACAGTATTGCTTCGATCGTGTAGTATTGTTTCGCTTATTGGTTAAAGCTGGACTCTTGCAAAAGGAGCCTCGAAATTCTCTCTGCTAAGTGCAGAGATAGTCTATGAGCTAGATATGATCCTATACAAAGAAAGCCTTTGTTTTGAAGAGATAGGGTCCTATGAGAATTGGTACTAGCGCCATCCATTTGCTCTTAGCGTGGAAAATTTTGATGTATTCACTGAAGCCATACAAGCTAGCTCATTACAAATTGCGGGCAGTAATCTTGACACGGGACTAGGACCATCGGTTCGTGATACGGAACCTCCAGCGAGCTACTTTAATATCTAGATACGCTCTATATGATTACAAGAATTTCTTTCGTGGCGCTAACTGACTATCGTATGCTCAAGTCTTTCCTGTCCCGACTTTTTTCTATCTTCAGATTACTTCACACTCACTTACTTCGCATACGATCCTTATAATTGCTCCTTTCTTTACACTTTGTTTGATACTTTACAAATCTTCTTACCTGGCCTCGTGGAAAGATGTCGTTCCTCAATGATTACTTCGCTATGAGTCTTCCGGGCTGGCGTCTTTTTATTCTTGCTTGCTTCATGGTAATTGGCATCAAAATTACAAAATTCTTTATCGAACTATACCGTGTGCGTAGCAAGTTCCAGCGTATGCAGAGAGATGGATTGGTGAGTTATGGCAAACGTCCGTCTCGATTTTCATGATCTTATAGCTGACCAAGTCTCAAAGCCAATGCCTCCGCATCACCCGGTGTTTGGTCACTTGAAGTTGATTGGCGAAATTGTATCTCGATTGCCCAGCGATGTTCATCGTCACGTCCTCCCACACCAGATCAAACTCCTCTATCCTAACCTTGGCCCGCTGTTCTACCTGGATACATGGCCCTTTGGTGGTGAGATTTTGGTTGCCGTAGGACCAGATGCAGCTTACCAGATGACCCAATCACACCCGCTGCCCAAGTTTCATGCCATGCGTGAATATCTGAAGCCTATGACAGGTGGAAATGACTTGGTCTCAATGGAAGGCAAAGAGTGGAGAAAATGGAGAACCATATTCAATCCGGGCTTCAACGCTAGTCATCTTATGACTCTGGTTCCTGATTTGATGAAAGACATGTCTGTATTCTGCGAGATTCTGAGAAAAGCGGCTGTGAACTCAGACATTGTCATCATGGATCATTTAACAACTAGATTGAATCTGGATATCATTAGTCGGATGGCTCTGTAAGTAGACCCCTCGGATTCGATTTCGTCAGGCTAGTTTCTAACAACGCTTAGGAACACACACTTGAATTCACAGCTTGAGACAAACGATTTCGTTTCTGCATTACTCAGTCAACTAGATTGGTTATCATTTGGACACGAAGTCAATCCATTCCAACGCTACAATCCTATTCGCCCTCTTGTCAACTGGTGGAATAGTCGCCGAATGGTAAAATATATTTGGAGAGAGTTGGATATGCGTTTGGAACGCCGAAACATTGTTGATAAAGGTACCCAAAGCACTCGCAGCAAATCAATCATCGACCTCGCTTTGGATAATTATCTTGCTAGCAAGCCTGGAGGCAGCACTACTTACGCCATGGACACCGCTTTCAAAGACATCGCTACATCTCAATTAAGAGTTTTCATTTTTGCCGGTCACGATACGACAAGCAGTACCATGTGCTATGCCCTCCATTTACTCTGGACTAATCCTAAGACCCGCCAGCTGTTAATTGCCGAGCATGATACGATTCTGGGCCCAGACCACAAAGAAGCAGCAAGAAAAATCACAGAAGATCCGTATATTCTGAACCGACTTCGTTATACAATGGCCGTCGCAAAAGAAACCTTACGACTGTACCCCTCTGCTTCCACTGCTCGTAGCGGTGAGGCTGGCTACTTCATGACAGGATCCGATGGACTTCAATACCCCACCGAAGGATTCATGGTATGGTCAAACTCGCACGCTATCCAACGTGATCCTGTCTACTGGCCCGAACCAAGCGAATTTCTCCCAGAGCGCTGGCTCGTTGAAGAAGGTCATCGTCTATACCCCAAGAAAGGCACCTTCCGACCGTTTGAATTTGGACCACGTCAATGTATTGGACAGGAACTTGCGATGATGGAGATGAAGATTTTTCTTGTTTTGACTGCAAGAGAGTTTGAAATTAGGAGTGTGTATGAGGAGTGGGATAGTCTGCATCCGAAGACTGGTCCAAGAACACTCGATGGAGATAGGGCTTATCAGATCTTGTCTGGAGCTGCTCATCCAAGTGACGGGCTTCCATGCAGGGTGAAGTTGGTTGGAAATTGAAAGTCTGATAAATGGGATCATGAAGCATCAACGGGTAAGATGATGCGAATGGTTGTGTGTCGGACAGAGACATTTTAGTCTGGAACTCATGTAGCTCCGACACGGACTGCTACTGAGAGTCATCAGAAAAGCAGCGAATTTCGGGAGCGGCGGATAGAACTTAGGATAGAACTTAAGATTCAAAACTTATACTTTGAGTATAACCAAAAATGATATTAGTCGTACAAATAACTTCCATTTCCTCGCCATTTGAACAGTGCTTACACGAAATATTCCACTTGTCGTCATCTTTCCTTTTCTATTCATATTCGCTCTATTTCAACTTACTGTTCTAATATGACCGAGTACTCAATTTGTAGACTACTCATTATCAATGCACTAAAATATTTATTATGTCTATATAAGACGACATATTCAATAATTTATGAAAAGAGTTGATAACGATCAAGGGAAATCCCAAAGCAGTGTAATCACATCATTGAATCACAATATGATCGATATGAAATAATATCTGGCAAGTTCACCAACATGATTTAAAGTCATTTATAGTCCTAGATTACCTATTTCTACGAAAATAGTATCTCATTCATCCTATTGAATAAAATTATAGATTCGCAATCTTTCTATTCATGGGAGAAGAAACAGATTAGAGTTGATTACTTACGAAATCCTTCGATGACTCGAATGGTTTAGTTCGATTTGAAGAATTGACATTGTAAATGTTATCAGATTTGAAGAATTTTCAAGGGTTTGTTTAGTACTATCAAGTCTGGAAATTTTATGCGTGGTCTACTTAACGGAATTTATGAGGGTAATCAATTTCCCTCATTTTTTGCTCCTGTTCTCGGCTATTCAATCAATTTAGCATGGGCGCGAGGGCGCATAACAGGAGGTATACAAAAAGACAATCTTGGTAGAAAAAAGTCAATTTTAAAAAGTGTCGGATCTTCTATAAAAAAAAACTAACACGTCCAGAAGTACCAATTTCAGGCTTTGAGAGAAATCTCAATCGTTCCCAAGCTTCCCATCTCAACCATCATCATATCATTAACCCATTAGCGGACCCTACCCCTATTTCCCCACCCCCTCAATTTTCACAGCCTTCCCATTCTTCCCATTCCACACTACAATCGAATCATCATCCTCCGACTGACCAACTTCATTCCCTTGCAGAAAGCCCCATCGATGTGTATCAGCCTGCGCATCGCCATGCGACTCAGACGCTAGCCCGAGAAACTCTCCTTCTATCATAAACCCCCTTTCATCCAGAAATTTTCGCGCCGCGTCAGTTTTTTCCTTGATCTCAAAAACTTTTTGTCTTATAATTTCCACGCATTCCGGACCATCTTCCAACGCACTCGCAATACTCATTTGACCTCCAAAAAGATATTTCGGTTTTACAATCTCATCCGAGAGACTATCCAGCGATGCACGCCAGGGGAAATACCCCTCCACACCCTGTATTTCACCCTCCAGCCTCTTAATCCACACAATGGTCCCCTTGACTCGAACATTTCTATGCTGTGCCCCTCTAATTCTAAATCCCAAACGTCCCAGATTCTCGAACGTCTTGAGGAAAGCATCACTGATCTTTTGTCCTTCTTGGTACAGTGCCTTCCAGATAGGAACTCCCAAGCCATCTGCTAGACCCCAACAGTCTTTACACATACTGGCTTGGCTTGCTACTTTGATAGTGATGGCGTGTTCGCAGGCATGGTACCACGTGTTGGATTGTACTGCTTTGTCGCATCGTTTGAATTCGAAGAGATCGGTGTCGGGGCAAGTCTGGCATTTGAAGGCTACTCTAATGCAGTAGTCTGGTAGGGTTGGTATGATCGTGGGTAGCTGGTGGCTAGGGGACACAGCGCTCATTGTTGAAAGAGACATGTATGTTGGTTGATTTTGAAATGTGTGTTGAGGGTTTTGAGATCCATGAGAGAGTTTATATATACGACTGAGCTAGAATGACAGTTTATATAAAGGACTTCTTGGAATTCCCTCTAATATGCCATGCTAAATGAGCCGTACTTAAACTTTTGCATTGTTTCGACTATATAAAGCATTCATGGTGAATGCCGAAAAAGTGACTGAGTGCGAATGAATGGGGCATTCAGCAAGTCATTTGCTGCCGAAAATGTAATTATCATCAATAATGATTCAATGTGATGAAAATTGTTTTGGGAATACATGTCAAGAATCTATGTAGACATGGAAAGTTGAAAAAAAAAAGTTCAAGCATTTTTTTTCTTTGGTTGAAATGACTCCACGTAATTGATTGTCACATTGAAGTCACTATGGATAATATTCATCGTCAGCCAACATTTCTTGACTGAAAGATCTCGACCAAGTATCACAAGGTGCATTCATAGATCATGGGAAGAAAGAGAGATCTCTACTTGCAATTTCATGAATGTTCCATTCCCACATTTCTGGAATTTATCTTTCACGAAGTCGAGGATGCCTGCACCATTTCGAATGAACGATGAACGTCTAGCATTCATACGATCTGCAGTCAGCTCTTAGTTGTTTTTTCTCCTTCCTCAAGTATAGTTGTCTGCTCCCCGATTTGTTTTCTATTGCGATTTTAACCACGTAGACCATCCGGATCTTGTTGCGGGCAGGAATTCGCTAGAAGCCCATAGACAGATGGTTTAATCAAGGGACGGTAGTATCACTTGAAGTACCTGCTCAATAACTCTGGGGCAAGAATCTATTAGAAGAACAATGTCTCCAAAGAGCTTGGATTAGGATATGATCCGATAGATTTGAAGGACAGGAGAGAGATTCTATGAAAGGAAATAATAGAGTGCAGCGAGAAAGATGATCGTTTCTTAAAATCTATATTAGAACTGAAATTAGAGTATCATGAATGGTTGTAAGCCAGTCGTGAACCAGGCTCATGCGAAAGATATAGCGGTAATTTTAAACATATAAATGAAAATGAAACAATTTTGTTGGCAACAAGTCCCCGGTTTACGCTAGTTTGTGTTCCACTTCCATAATCTCAATACCGTTGTCTTGGCCAGAGCTCGATTTTTGAAACTCTTTTTCTTCTGCAGCTCTCCCGAGTCTTAAATCTTCCTCCTCATATATTTGTGGTCTCTGTAGCTGAGTAGCTATCTTATTTCGGTGGATGAAGAGTCCAGGTTTACTTTCAAAGAAGCGATCAATATCCTCTAAGCTTCTGTTTGCAGTCTCCGGATAGAAGAAATATGTAATCGGAACGAAACTCGCGCATATGACTGCCCAAATAATCCAGAATCTCCATCCAAGATTTGCAATTCCTGACGGAGTCACTTCGGCAACCATGTAGTTCATAATCCAGTTGGTAGCCATAGCTAGAGATGCACCCTTGGTACGCATCTCAAGAGCATTGATTTCGGTAGGATAGAGCCATGGAACTCCCAAAACACCCATGCCAAAAGATGCAAAGAATGCGAAGAAGAATGAGACTGCCACAGCTCCGTATTGATAGCTATGTGCTGGATCAGAGACAGTCAATGCAAGTACGATGGTGATGATAATCCAGCAAGTAGAACATGCAAATGCAGAAACCATCATCACACGTCGGCGACCATATCGCTCAATCACAAAGTAGGCTAAGCAGGCGAAAAGAAGATAGTCGACAGACCCTGCGGCTGCAAGAATGCGTGCTCTAATTACGTGTTAGTTGTGAGCGACCTGAATGCTGAAGGACTCGTACCTTAATTCGGATATTCCTAGTGCATGAATGAAAACGTATGTCATGTAATAACTAGTGACATTGATACCACTGATTTGATTCATTGCTTGCATCCAAGCTCCTAAAATCATACGTCTCAGAACTCCAGATGGACCTTTACCAGACAGCAATTGAAACCAAGTATATGTGTTCATATGTTCTCGATCTAAGACGTCCTTGATAATATTAAATTGTTGTTTCACAGATGGAGAGTCGATGGTTGCACCATGACCCTCAAGTGCCGCGAGAACTTCATATGCCTCTTGGTGTCGCCCTTTTCTAATAAGCAGACGCGGCGAATCTGGCAGGAATGGACATAAAGCCCAGATTACAGCAGTGAAGACTAACATATTATTAGTATAATATCGTGTTCAAGTATTTAGAAACTCACATATTTGGAAAGCCAGAGGGAATCTCCATGCCACACTACCCTTGGTGAATGAAAATCCAAGTGTAAGCCAATTAGAGATTGAGAATCCGGTAATGCAATTAGCCATCTGAATAATGACAAGTTTCCCACGACTTCTCATCTTGCTAGTCTCGGCTTGCCAGACACCTGCAGTTGCGGTGTTCATTCCTGTTCCCAATCCCGCCACTATTCTTCCCACCATCATTTGCGCAACACCGTAGCTAGCAGTTTGAATGAGTGCACCCAAGGCAATGATGGTGCTTCCTAGGAGTATTACTTTAGGTCGACCAAGAAGATCTCCAGTCCAGATAGTAGAGAGCGCGCCAAAGAAACAGCCCAGATTATAGACCGAAGTTAAAGTTCCTTGAACACTTGTTGTTGGGTACCCCATCGTTCGAAGAAAGTCGTCACCAACTAACACATTTCCAAAAACACCCTAACAAGGTAGTCAGCACTTTGATTTTTTTCTAATAATTCTGGCAGGACACTTACCTGGTCGTAGCCATAGAAAACTAAGACTGTCGAAGCAGCAATGGATATCCATACTGTCAATGCCTCACCAGAACCTCCAAGGTACTTTCGAGCCATTGTACGAAATTGATTCAAATATAACAACTAGCTGCAGAACTTGCAATCTTGCATATCGCAACTTCACAAAGACTGGAGAACTTCTGATGGCTTTATACTTGACAATCGCCAGGATGTACTCCCATGTCCTCCCTTGTGCAGTCGTGCTCCCACACGATGATGCATAGTGTCGATCATTACCAGATTGGAAATTTTGACGATAGAAGAGATAGACAGCTTCATTTGAATACAGTTTGACAGCCATGGCTGGGGCCAAGACAGCGGGACGAGTCATTATTTTCTATTTGATATTAGCAAAATCGTGGGGACCCCAGATTTCGGTGGATTCGCGGGAAGCAAGCGGGGTAACGTTATCTTGGAGTTTCAAGATTCGTATCCATCAGTGGGTGTATTGACTGAGGGAACACTTCTCAACATTAAAATGTGTGAGAAATCTATTCTTCAATTGTTTGATTCCAGAATCCATACTCCAATTTCTTGATCTGCAACAAATCATGGAATTGAAATTCGAAGTATCTGGAGCGATATTTCGAGAGATATTGTCAAGTCAATTTTCGAAGTGTTCCGCCAGTCCGTGCACCCGCTGATGATCCAAGCATGTAAGCTAGAAGCTAATCCGGATAACCTTCCCGCTCTAGCAAAGTCATATACGTTTCTTTGCTTTTTTGACCTCGCTCGACCTTCCTTTCCTACTTGGTGTTCTCGCCAAGTGACTGGGATACACATGGGGGTAGAAAATGGAGGGGTGAGATCAATATGTCAATCGTCTGAAGGGATGTTTCACGACGAGTTAAACAATAGCTTCTTTTTTTGCAATATTGAACCAGATATTCATCATTAACTCATCAAGGCATCCCTTTTACCCGGCTTCGATCATCCCACCTACCTTGCGTCGACACGTCGTTGGTTTGCCCACATAGGACGGTCCACGTATTCCGAGCCATATTCTTGATATATAAATACATTCGTTTCAACTGTAACACACTTCCCATTCAGAATCATAAAAAACACCTGAAATTACACAAACATGGCTATGAACGTTCAATCCAAGACTGCTATTGTCACTGGAGCTGGCTCCGGTATCAATTTTTGTTTCGCAAAATTGCTACTCAGCAAAGGTTGCAATGTTGTCATTGCAGATCTCGCTCTGCGCCCAGAAGCTGAGGAATTGATATCGAAATATTCTGATTCTTCAAATGGTCCAAAAGCCGTGTTTCAGAAAACGGACGTAACGGAATGGGTTCAGTTGGAGAAGATGTTCGAAGTAGCATCGGAGCAATTTGGTGGTGCTGATATTTTATGCCCAGGAGCCGGTGTCTTTGAACCAGTTAGTTTTCACAAACCAGGATTGAGAAAAATAGCTAATTGATGACCAAGCCATTTTCAAATTTCTGGATCCCTCCTGGAACCTCTCCTTCCGTCGACAAAACCTCCGAATCACGATACAAATTACTTGATATCAACATCACTCATCCGATACGCGCAACTCAAATGGCTATTGAGCACTTCATGAAGCGGAAGAAGCCTGGTACTGTTATTCATATATCCAGTATTGCTGGTCAAGTTCCATTCTTTCCAACGCCAATGTATGTAGCTTCAAAACACGCTATATCAGGTTTTGTTCGTACATTGGCACAGTTGGAATTTCCTTCTCCCGATATTCCCAAAGTACGCATAAGTGCAGTAGCACCTGGTCTCATTAAAACCCCGTTGTGGACAGAGAGTCCCGAAAAGATGGCATTCATCCCTAAAGATAACCCGGATTGGGTAACGCCAGAATTTGTTGCCGAAGCAATGTTAGAACTCATCGAGAGTGAAGAATATCCTGGAGGTACAATTCTCGAAGTTGGCAAAGTAAAGAGGAAAGTGGAAGTCTTCAACGACCCTGGACCTTCACGAACGTCAACGGCAGTTACACATGTACCTCGTGAGACTCTGGAAGCTGACATATGGGCATCTATGAAGAAGCAATACCAATCTTAGACTAAACCTTCACAATGAACTGGTTGGAACCATTCAAGAAGAGAGCCGTGGGCATTCACTCAAAGCATGAAAGTTATATGTTATTATCTTGGCATTTACTACGAAGTTCTTCTTTGGGGAATACCTCAATTAATGAAAGGCTTCCTTCATGTGATAATTATATCACAGTGTTTCCGTATTGATCCTTCAGAGTGAGCTTACTCTCCGATTCATGTGGATAAGCCAGAAAATAATCATGGACAACCCTGAAATCTCTTAATGTGATGTCAATGCTCCTCTGGAAAGCAACATAAGTCCCAACACTAAGAGACACTCCCCCTATCTTCAACGTTCTGCTCTGAGGAGCAGAATTCCCCTCCATAGCAACAACAACGAGAGGTCCTTTCCAAGCATGCTTCATCTTGCCAGCCGTGATTGAGCTCGCAGACTGCGTCATCTTTGATCCGTCAGATCCAAAATTATCTCGCATGTAAACAGCAAGAGTGTGTTTGATATTTCGTGCTCGCATGATCCACTGAGGCTTAATAAGGAGTTGTTCGGAATCATAAGAATCTCCTGAGCCATAAGTGAGGAATTCATCGACATCTGGTAGGTCAAACTGCCCTTCGACACCAGGAATTGCGATCTTGTTGAAGTTTACCCATACTAATTCTGGGCGTTTAAAGTCGGGTGAAAACAAAATGCCAAGCTTGTGGGCGGGACTTGGACGAGGAGGCATTCTGGTGATCTCCTTGCAAAGGATTTTGTGGAGAGGCCAATCGAGGATTTGACATTCGGAAGAACAGTAGGCGGCGGACTTGCAGCGTGCACAGTCTTTTGCTGGGAAGTTGCAAATGGTACAGGTTGATGCTGGTGGGGACGAGCTGGCATCGGCACTGGTGGTAGAAGCCATGTTTTGTGGGTTTTTGATGGAGGTCAATCGAAGAGGAGCTTCGAAAAAGTAGCTGGTGGGAAAGGATATGGTATCATCAAGACAGAGAATTCAAAAGGGAAGCTAGGGTCTATAATAGTAGTGAATTTGTGGGAGTTTTTCTGTGTTTGCTCAGGATGCGCATATGCAATGCAAACGACACAAACATGCCGACATTTACCTCATTTATCACTTTCAAATGTGATTCAAATTTGAAGGAAAGAACCTACTAACAGAATATGTGCGCATCGCCCATAGAGCGCACATTCTAGAGCATCCGAAGAGTTGGCCATAATGAGTTGGTTGAACTGAACAGTTGCTGGGCGATGCGACCGTCACTAGATAGGCAGGCATTGATGTCTAATGCGGGGAAAGTCACATGTTATCGCGCCCATGACCTTTTAGCGCGTTTGTATTCTAGAATAAAACTACCGGATGATTGCCCTGACGGAAAGCATCGTCGAGATTCTGTGAACCTTTCTTTTAACCACTCAGGTACGTACCTAGAATGTTCATGGATTGACTAGGTAATAAGTGTCCCATAATCGAAGTACTTAAATTCCCCTGGAACTTAAGAAGTCAAGTTATCGACTTGATTGCACGAGGCAGCCTTTAATCAACACTCAGCATCACAAGGCGATCGGTACGTATCGCAATTACCCACAATATTCATTCAATAACCTAGCTTGCTATTTGCTTTGGGGGATCAACTGACTTCTTCACTTGTCTACAGTAAATAGGTTTCTACCCAATTGCAAACCTAGAGATTTCAATTCCCATGATGGCTGTTCTCGACAAACTCCCAGGCGTAGAAGTCACTATTCGAGTGAACGGAGTCCAAGCTCAGGAATATGATGACGATGAAGATATAGAGGCTGGACCGGGACGGAGCGGCGAATACCAGGCTTTGAGAACAGTATCTAAGTATATTGAAGCCATCGATGGGGCCGAATTCAGCATTGTTTGCACTTTGTTACCCAAATTCAAGTTCAGAGCGCCAAACCTCCAAGCAGATGTATCCGTCGATGGCAATTATTCTCAAGGGAAAATCATCGCACCCGAAGAAATAGGAAAATCCCCAACGCAATTTGACGGCCCAATCAATTTCCATCCCATCGGAAACCGGTCTACGGTACAAAAATACAGGTTTTCTGAGCTTCTCATATGTTTGTTTCCACAACCTCGCAAGTGTCAATACGTCGATGCCGTGCTAACATTGCGAAGCGAACGAAGAAGGTCGACTCTCGAACCTGAAAAAGGATAAGGCCGAAGCCGAGAAGGTTGGTACAATTGAGATCAGAATCTGGCGCGCTTCCAAATCAGTACCAGCCGAGTCTATATATCGCGATGATATTAAATCGAGTTCCAATGAGTTCCATGAGAAAGCGCTCAAAGGACAAGCGAAATCACACAAAGTTTCGTATGTTAGCCATGATCATGGACTCACCAGTCAACTTACGGTCTTAGGTATTCCCCAGAAATCACTACTTCCAACCAGAGATGGGTAAATGTCACAAAACTCGACGGCAAAGATTACCCCATAGCCATTTATAAGTTTAAATATCGATCAAAAGGTACAGTGAACAGCTGCAGAACTGGAAGGCATCGCTAATATTGATATAGAATCTCTTAAGCAACTAATGATCATTGAGCGGACCCCCGAACCGGAAGATAGCCCAACACCAAGTCCTGCACCAGATGTTAATCTCGATAATCTGACCGCTGCTCAAAAGGAGCGCCTCAAGGCATTTCTGCGCAACGAAGGGATCGCTGTAAGTAGTGCAGTGATTTCAACGGCATACAAAATCTAATATATTATGTAGGCGGATCGCGCGTCTAATAATACACCCGAGAGAAAAATCAAGCGAGAGCGAGAGCACGGTGAAGGCAGCTCAAACCAAGCACGACGAAAGAAGTCCAGAACTACAGAGGTCGTTGATCTTACTGCAGATTCTGACGAAGATGCGTGATAGTGGAGCCACATCTGCAAATTAAATCGGCTGGGATGTCATTTTCATTTTTCTCGGGGGCGTTCTCTTTTTGCTAGTCAAAATTTTGTTCGTAAAATATACCCCGATTATTTATTGAGTATGGGAAGATATTCAATGAGTTTGATGGCGTAACGGAGGGGATGGAAAAACAATTTAATGGCCCAATGGCTCAATGACACAACGGCGTCACGTCAGTTCAATTTTGAATGCATATTTTTATTTGGCCTTGCAAGCTCTTAGATAACGGCCTTACTTATCCATTTTATAAAATAAAGAAAGATTAAACAATTCTGCCTACAGCTCTCACGATATGTGAAGTTACAGCATTATTAGTATGCTCATTCGAAAGTTTCGCAACGGAACAATAGCACATAGCAGACTTAAGCATACTATTGCAACTCTTAAAAACGCCAGGATGCTTTCTTCAATTACAAGTCTGTTTTCTCAAGCCCCAACCCATATTGATGGAAACCAAATTTCCTTATAATTCTGCACATCAATATTCGTGCACATTGACTTACTGCTAGATATTAATCAATTTGATTTATTCCTACCTTTAAGATGTCACGAGATTAAAATCTGGTCGACAAATTGTAAAAGTATCTGTGGAGATAGGGAGAGCTAGTGGGTGATTCAATGTCATGGATATGTTGCTGCTGCTCTGGTATTGTTTGAAGTGACCGGCTGGAGGTGATGTCTGAGATTGGGAGATATAGAGTGAAGTAGATGATTAGATTATGGAGATGAGATTGCTTTGTTGTTCTCATCGTCGTTGCTCATGTCGGCGCGAGGACTTCTCGTGGAAGTGTTGAGCAAGGCTTTGTATGCAATGGGCTGTCGCGCTTTGGATATTGTAATCGAGGGAATATATCTAAACGACTTGTACTAGATGTCTAAGCCATCGTATCTATATTTGCTTTTGATGCTAGAATCAACGTGAATTGACTGAATGGTCGTGTGGAACGAGGTACTTGAAAAACGAACTTTTGTTTGTGTCTTGGCTAGCTAGTATGTCCAAATTGATAAATCTTAGCTAGGTATCTGGCCGATTTCTTGATATAAATGCCGAAGTATTGTTATTGCCATTAATTTGTCCCCATCCTACCTAGGTAGGTTGAATTGAAAGTTGAGTTGCACTATGTAGACCGTCATGAAGCACCTCATTTGGCCTATAAAAGCCCGAAGAATTTGCGAAGTACATCCCTTTTTGTCCCTTGGAAACCCAGAAAGAAGAACCTGCGAATTCTGGCTCACTATTCAATCCGAATCATCTCCTGTCAAATCAACCTCAACACGTTCGTTTCTCTTTGATCGCTTGTTGGTCTTGGAATCCATGCCAGTTTCCTCTCTTTCCCGCTTAATCTTCCTCTCTCCATTGTGTTGACCTCCATTTCCCTGATAAAAAATGTAGTTAGCGCTGGTACGGATGATGATAGATTTAACATACCAATAAATTTCCCAGAAATTCCTGAAGCTTGGCTTTCTGGGTTGCATCAAGGTTCTCAAGATCAAAAGATCCTGAAGCACCGTTCGGAATTGGAGCAGGAGAGGGAGAAAGAGATGGTTCTGGGGTTCTTTCGAGTATCAAGAGAGACTTGAGTGATTCTGCGACGGTTAGCAACTTCTATGGACTTGCTGTAGGGTGTTTCCGACCTTTAGATCTGTATTTGAATCGATATATCGCGATCGGGTAATCTATTCCATCCAGGTAGCTCAAGTGACAAAGAGCACCGACTTTTGTAGCCTGAGCAGCTCCTAATCTGATGCAGATTTATCTGTTAGCAATTTCTGATAGTCCAGGATTGGGGATGAAAGACCATGGCTCACGTGGTACTATGCGACATCGCTTGTCCCTTGAGTGCCTTCTCGTGCACTAATACTGGTGAATCGGCCGCTAGCTTTTTGGGAGCATTGAGCCTCTTTGATTGATTCTTCGAACGAATTTTTTCACCTCTTCGATGAACCTTTACCACGATCTCTCCAACACCACTCAGTCGGGTTGCATCCTCTTTTATAGATGCTAATTTTGAATCATCGGTAGCTTTGAAAAAGTTAGTAAGAGGGTGCCAAAATGGTTTTAGTAACAACGGATAATTACTTGTGATTATGTCGCTAAACTTCAATGGCATTAAGAAGAATTTCCCGTTTTCAAGCTCATCTCTGACACCTTTCACTTCCTTAGTCCTAAATAGAAGGTTAGTCTGTAGGCATAGGGAATAGAAAAACTCGTAAACATTCAACTATGAAGGACTCCGGTACAGAGCTGCCTTTCAAGATTAGAATACTCACAGAGGAGCGTCTTTCTTGCCGCAATTTTTCGAACAAACTTTCATTCCATCAACAAAAACATGGAAGGAAATATTCGGAGAGTCAAATTTGTATGCTTTGCTTATCTCCAGGTTGACGTAAAACAAGTTGCCGGTGGTCGATTCAATATATTTGGAAACCGTTTTGGTAGCTTTATCATATCCTCCAGCCTCTGCAGAAACACACTCAGGCTCATTGTCGTCGTACTCTTGGAGAGCTTGCTTGTCGACGCATACTGTAACTTCGATCCCACGAACGTCCTCGAGGACTGCCATGATGACGGGACAATAATTTCAAATGGTCGGATGTTACAATAAGGAGTGTCGAGATTTGTTCAATAGTATTGATAAGTCGAAATATTATGATGCGTTGTTTGGTTGAAGTGTATGGTTAAAGTTAAGATTATCTAAAGCATAAAAGATGGGACACGCACGCGTGGCTTTACTACCCAGCGCATCTTTGAATATTGGGAAAGTGAATGGAAAGATTAATGTTTTGTTTAGAAATATCTTGCTAACCCCCTCCTCCTCCTGCCCCCCAAAGGTGAGCAGTAGTGAATAAGAAATAAGTCGCACCATCACGTGATGTTACCGAAAGACAATTGCAAACGAAAGTGCAATTTCTGTCTCCTTTATTTTACACTACATCAAACATATAATCTTCTCTACTCTTTATGGATACTGAAATTTCCATTCTTTCTATGTTCTCCTTGGACCACAAGAGCATTCCAGAGAGCTCCAGAAATGCTGGGGATATTGGAATATTCTAACTTGAGAAAGAGTTTTCTGCCAAAACGGTTGTTGGAGATGTACCAAAGAAAGATAATTATTAATGCAATGTGTGTTATGAATGAGCCGGCTATGATCGTATAAGCATTTGACTGACTGTTTTCACAGGTGTTTTTTTACATCTCTCGAGCTTAAGCTCTCCGAATGTGATTTTTGAACCTCAACTCTACCCGATGGATACCGAGTTCTTGTGCTCTGCCGGGAGTATCAATCCTGCAAGGACGACACGTTGACCGGCCTAGGCCAGTGCACCTCGATGTTGGTAGTCAAAATAGTATTGCCCTCTCTGGCCAGTGTGTTAGCCGCGTGTGCATGTCTAAGGCTGACGCAGTCATGAGTTCCTAGAATCAGTTGCCACAAACTTAACACTTTAAAGGTTTAAGTTCGAAGTCTATTGTTAATCTTCCGTACGTTTAGATTTGAACTCTATTGTAAATATTCCGAGTTCTCGACTTTGATCAGGCCTTATGTTGATTCGTTCAGATCTTGTTGCTTCCCCCACGTACAAAACAGTGCTCTACGTACCAATGGACACTTACTTCATATCTCGACTATTTTTCACGTCTTTTCTTTCACAAGCCATTTAAAATTTGGATAGGCGCCGAAATCGCTTCCGCCCCTTTAGCCAAGCCACGTCGAAAATCACTGGCTTTTTCATATTATTTCTCTTGAGGTTTCTTAGCCCGAAGCTCTCAAACACTCGAGTCATGGCATGAAAAACACAACATCGCGGTATTGAACAACAGCATCGGGTCGGGTCACACTGATTGGAATTCTGAAATCACTAAATAGTACCAGCACAAAGATTAGGACAGTAGTCTTTATAGTCTCGGCCACCATTACAGAAAAAATCACAATGGAGAAAATGGCCGTGCCTGGTTTTCTGTAGCTCCGGTGGACATCCAGAAATGCACTGCGCATTGGGCGCCTTCCTCTGTGGCTTGATCTAATTTTCGGACGATCAACAACTAGCAAGTGGGGTGTTGACGCACGTCTTCTTCTGCATGTCAGTAGTTCATAATTTGAAGGCCTGGGTTTGACGGGTCGCCTGCTTGTATGGAGAATACCACCTACCAGCTCGGTGGAATTTCCATGACTGGCCCTACGACCGCAACGTGGAAGTCAAAGGCCAATCCTGATATCTATTCGTCTATTGATAAATGTCATTGATGTTCTATCCACAATGCTTATGTCCGAAAATCCCCATTCAAAACTCTCAACAAAGGAGGGATGTGTGATAGATTTTGGACCCCATCCAGCCGCCTCATTGACTCGCGGGCAAGTAAGTCGCATCATGTCTTTTCATATAACAGGACTCAAGTCCTCAAGATCTGTTGTGATGCTGCCTTTCTCTTTTTCGCGGTTCCGTTATACCAGTGTAACTTTCTTTCATCATGTATATCGACATCACAGCCACATTGGACTGGCCCGTTCCTAATTACGTTAACCCTGAAAGATATGGACCATCCATATTCATTGTCCATGGAGTACTTTACCCGATTGTTTTGACGATGCTGGGAATTCGCATTTATACTCGCATGTACATATCAAAGTGTTTCGGTTTGGATGATTGTTTGGCTCTCTTTAGCATGGTTTGTATCTCCAAGTCTTTCATATATCTCTACAGAAACTAAATTATATTCTCAGATACCCATCACTGGTTTTGCTGTCATGAGCATTTTTGTTGAAACATATGTTGGATGGGATGTCCACGCTTGGGATGTTCCCTACGATTCGCTTGCCCTTGGTCTCAAATGCATCTATACAAAGCAAATTCTGTTTACACTAGCGCTCACTCCTATAAGAATTTCTATGCTGTGGCTTATTGCTCGGTTATTCGGAAATGGGGCTCCTAAACTCCGACGCGTTGCACAAGGGGTTATGATATATATTCTCTTACACGGCTCGATCTTCGCTATTACTTTGACATTCCAGTGCAGGTAAGCATCGACAACGATTCCCAATTGAACTTTACTTGACTAATTATCTCAAAGGCCAGTCTCTGATTACTGGGCAGTTTCCTTCAAACCCCAGCCAAATTGTATCAACCAAGAAGTCCATCTCCTCTTCACGGCCATCTGTAATGGGATTAGCGATTATGTAGTTGTGATTTTACCAATGCATACAGTATGGAAATTGCAACTGCCCTTCAAGCAAAGAATATCTCTCTGCATGCTTTTCGCAATTGGATTTATCGCCTCTACCGCAAGCATCATTCGAACGGTTTACGTGTGGTACTCTACATCGGACTATGATAGAACCTGGACCGCATATCCCGTATTCATATGGAGTTCAGTCGAACTTTATCTCGGCCTCGTAAGTATAAATTCCGCCAACAAATATCTGAGTATCTTTTCTGACTAAACATCCAGTTTTGCGCATGCATGCCACCAAGTGTAGGTTTCTGGAAACTCTACTACCCCAAGCTCGTCGGTACTTTCAACCGATCCGAACAAAACACATCCAAATCGAGCAAATTCTGGAGCTCAAAATCCGGATCCAAACAAGATCGAAACAATTCTCACGAACTCGCCGATACGGACGATGAGGAACGAGGTATCATTGTTGAGCAGGGCGTCACAATCGAGACTTACAATCACACGAAGGACGAATCTATGGGAATCCAAGGATCGTGTACGGTGATAGATCAATCGCCTCAGTTGCCCAATTTCTCTTTTAATAATAATCATCAACGATATCTATAGTTATATTAATGTCATATCAAAGTCATTTCGTTCATATTTGTCTTTTTTCTTAGAAGCGTGCAGGATCTTTCCAGGTGTCCTTGGAGATACACACAGCATCTCCCAACTAGTCACAGACTATACTCTACCCTCTCAGATCTCTTTTCTACCTCGAATCACCATTTCACTCAAACTGAGTCATATATGCCCTCGATGGCCTAAATTCTCTACACATATAGTACGGCGGAGAATTTCAGAACCCTAATACACGCCTCTTCATCTACAGACCCGGCAAGTTCCCCAAGAACCAGGACTACATCTATTCTAAACCCAACAATCCAAAAGCGATAGAGTATATCATCAGTCACCAAAGGAAAACGCAGAACGATGAACCAATCACCCACATAAATACGAGCCGAGAAACCTGCATCAAAAGTAACAATCCTACAAAAGACCCGCGGACCGCTCTCTACAGATGTATCTGCATATCCCGCTCATCATATACATTATCTCAAATACCAAAAGCGCGAAATATAAAGCTGGAATATATTTCTACGAATCCTCCTCATTATGCAGTAGAATATATTTGTGGACGGTCCTTCGATTTTCTGGACCCGCGCACATAACAAGAAATTCATGTCACTGTTTCAATTGCCTTTCTGCCCACTCGAGATACATTTCAAATCATAAAAGATGTGAATTCTTGAAGAATTTCTCACAGCACAAGGCATCAAAGTAAGCGGAAGATGAAACGGCGAGATGTATATATTCCATATTTTGTCCTCAAAGCGATAGAGCTCCAGACATACACTATAGAATAATTAAAACGTCCGTTCAAACAAATTTATCCTTGCAATAGAAAATTACAAATCCCAGCTACCTACCTAGATTTATCTTCTATCTTGCATTATGCATTCTCTTCTACACTAATTTCGCAATCTAAATGAGAGTAGAGGTATCTAAACAAACTCATCGGTCCACCTTGAAATAGTATGATAGACTAGGAACCCAAGCCCTAACAAACATGAAATACAGCGGAGCGAGTTTCACTTTGCTAGTTCATATACATAACGCCTTACTCATCTCATAATTCATCCAACATCGCTCATTCTCTCATAGAAAATAATTTCCCGTTTCTACCAACATCAACTCCAACGATTCTTCTCTTCCTTCAACAACCATTCGAAGCTCCACTACTCCCCACCATCTCAACATTCGTCCCCACAGCTAAACCATTTAAAATTCCCAAATAATCTAACTCCCCTACTCTAAAATTCTCCTCAAAGCCATCACTCATTGCATTTCCATTTCCTCGACCAACCCCCTCGAACTCCATTCTCGTTCCCAGTTCCACATGTCCTCCATTACCGCCTTCCTCTCTCATCCCACCCGTCCCCGGTATCGCCTTTCTACCCTCTTCTCTTCCTGCAACATTCGCAAAGACGCCTCTAGCAATAACCTTCAATTCTCTTTCTGTCCCCCTCGCACCCTCCCAAACCCCCGCTAACACCTTCGTAGCGCCCAATCCCAATCTAATCCTATCCCTAGCCATCTTCCACTCACTTGATCTTTCGAAATTCCCTCCTCTTTCCCTGTCATCTCCTCTGTTATTATACACATAAGCACAAGCACTAAGATTTGCCAGCGTTGCTTTTGTAATCCCACAAATACCGAGAGGCGTGTGTGATAATATTGGACTAGGAAGTGCATAGAGATTCATGGCCGTTTGGGCTGCCTCGATGGTTTTCTTTGTGTGGAGCCAGCGGGTCAGATCTTCGTTGCCGGTTGGTGGAGAGGTGGGTG